ACCACCACTCCACCACTCACCACCACTCACCACCACCACCACCACCACCACTCACCACCACCACCACCACCACCACCGGAGGAGGAGGAGGAGGAGGAGGAGGAGGAGGAGGAGGAGGAGGAGGAGGAGGGAGGAGGAGGAGGAGGAGGGAGGAGGAGGGAGGAGGGGGAGGGAGGGAGGAGGAGGAGGAGGAGGAGGAGGAGGAGGAGGGAGGGAGGAGGAGGGAGGAGGGAGGAGGAGGAGGAGGAGGAGGGAGGGAGGGAGGAGGGAGGGAGGAGGAGGAGGGAGGAGGAGGAGGAGGAGGAGAGGAACTGCCACTACTACTACCTACTACTACTACTACTACCACTACTACTACTACTATTACTACTACTACTACCACTACTACTACTACTCACTACTCACTACTACACAACTACTACTACTACCACTAACTACCACTACTACCACTACTACTCACTACAACCACTACTACTACTACTACTACTACTACCACTACCACTAATACTACTACTACTACTACTACTACAACTACTACTACTACTACTACTACTACTACCACTACTCATATTGCCACTACTACTACCACCACTACTACTTCTCTTACTACTACTACTACTACTACTACTACTACTACTACACAACAACAACTACTACTACTACTACCACTACTACTACTACTACTACAACTACTACTACACACTACTACTACTACCACTACTACCACTAATACTACTACTACTCACAACTACCACTACTACTACTACTACTACTACCACTACCACTACTCACTACTACTACTATTACTACTACTACTACTACTACTACCACTACTACCACTACTACTACACTACTACTACTACTACCACTGCTACTACTACTACAACTACTACTACTAACTACTACTACTACTACTACTACTACTACTACTACTACTACTACTACTACTACTACTACTACTACTAACTACTACTACTACTACTACCACTACTACTACTACAACTACCACTACTACTACTACTCACTACTACTACTACTACTACCACTACTACTACTACAGCTACTGCTACTACTACTACAGCTACTGCTACTACTACTACTACCACTACTACTACTACCACTACTACTACTACTATTACCACTACTACTACTACAACTAATACTACTACAGCTACTGCTACTACTACTACTACTACTACTACTACTATTACTACTACTACTACTACTACAACAACAACTACTACTACTACCACTACCACTACTACTACCACTACTACTACCAGTACTGCTGCTGCTGTTGTTTCTGCTACTACTCTAAACCTTGCTACTAGGCTGTCAGTTTAAGTCTAGTCATAATTATGTACTAGTAAGTTACAGCATGTGTAATATGAGAACACATCACAATGTAAACTCACAAGGACTCAAACATACTTGTTTTGTCATCACAGGGGGCGGGACACGAACGGTCTGACTGAAATACGGTTCATGTCTGACAGTGATGTTTTTCAAGTTACACCATTAGTTTTATATGAGAGTTGACTTATTTATATTTTCTAGTCTAGTCTGTATTTTATGCAAATTTTAATCATATTTTGTGAGATTGTTTGCTCCAGCTTCAATAAATTTGCTTTGTGCGTCTACTTGTAATGTCTCATAATTCCGTAATGACTCATTCATATTTTCTAGTCTAGTCTGTATTTTATGCAAATTTTAATCATATTTTGTGAGATTGTTTGCTCCAGCTTCAATAAATTTGTTTTGTGCGTCTACTTGTAATGTCTCATAATTGCCATACGTGTAGTTCATTTTATGTCACATTACATGTTTCACTATAAACTATACTTCTCAAAAGGCGCGAAGGATTGTCACTTTCAAACTAAACTCAAATTGTGTGCATCTGCTGAAATAGCCAGAGACCATATTGCGTGAAAATATTTGTATAAATTTGTATATAATGCTTGTAATAATGCGCTAGGTGACATATACAGAGATACCGGGTCCAAGGGCCCATGCTCCGGCCGAGTGCAGAAGCCAACGCATATTTGCAAATTTCCTTGTCAGAAAAGTCACGGGAAGAGATGCATTCAGGCCTATTTGTTTGATGTTTCACCGGTTATTTCTTTCTCATGAACCCAGTTTTGTTGTGAATGCGTGATATGAGTAATAAAGCGTGACATGAGCAATAAAGCGTGACATGAGCAATAAAGCTTTAGGCAGGTATGCATATAGTACCAACAAACAACATGTGACGAACAATCAGCCAGATGACACATCAATATGAAAGTACTAGGGGTGGGTATTGCAGAGAATTTTCATATTGCGATATATTGCGATGCGGAAGCATATATCGCGATATGTATTGCAATATATTGCAAGGAATTGTTTTTTTACAAAAACTACTTATAATCGAGTTAATGCTTGATTATAAAGCAAAAACACAACAAAATCACTATGAAGATTAACCTTTTATAAAAACTTTTAATCATGACAAAATAAAAATGTAAGTAACATTTGGCACTAATGAAACAGGGAAAAGAACAATTAAAAAAACCGGAAATATCCGAGGATTTCCGAGTGTTACGAAGTTTTCCGAATGCATGACAAAATACCGGTTTTCGATCAGCGTATCGCAATACGTATCGTTTTCATGTCTGAACCGGTAAATACCGGTAAACCGGTTATATTGCGCAGCCTTAGAAAGTACGCGACCAAAGTGGGGGCCGCTAAATATTGACAAAAGAAGCATTGTCGAACAGGGAATAATCAACGTGATGCGATCGCAGTCTGGCACCGTCGGCCCACGCTCCCAATCAGTGTTTGGGTGGTTGCCAATGGAAGATTGTTCCACTCTTCAGTAAGAACATTGCCGAGTTCATTAGTTTGCAGGAAGGACACGGCGTCTTAAAATGGCGAGGTATAGGTCAGGTGATTAGGCTGGCCTCTCCATGTGGAAAACTGTTCTGCTCTGAGTAGGCAACCGCGAATTGGCACGTTGGGTGTCCGTGCGTTATAGTCCATGGGGTCGAAGCCCGGTGCGATATCGGATTGCACCAACATACGGTCCCACATAGACATCCAGACTGTCCTAAAGTCTATACTTGTAGAGTCGGCTGACATCGAGCCCTTCAGTAGGATATGAACATCGGTCCTCCTAGTTCCATTGAGCCCTTCAGTAGGATATGAACATCGGTCCTCCTAGTTCCATTGACCCCGTTCATTGAGTGCGCCAGTATAGGTTTACCCCGCTTTTAGCAATTTTGCAGCAATATCACAACGGGGGACACCAGAAATGGGCTTCACACATTATACCAATGTGGGGAATGGAACCCGGACCTTCGGGGTGACGAGCAAACGCTTTAACCACTAGGCTACCCTACCGCCCAATGGCTGTTCAAAATAATGAATGAGCGATCATGTTTGGGTACGATTGAATCCTAAAATCCTAAAACATATTATTCCTTAATCTATTGAAACTCAGTCGTGGTCTGTCCGTTTGAGTTAATTCTCAGCCGACTGAAAACATTCTTGCTGGTATTGTGGGGTCAAGGGGATGCGAATGAATACCCTCCGGGATCGGATACCAGCCTCATGACCACGAGTAGTATACGTAACGTTTACTCACGTCACATCCGAAACTTGTGCCAACACGAAGTGATGACATCTTGTTGCTTTTACAAGAAACGTATATCCCTATTGGTTTGGTTTGTCTGGTTGTTTTTTTAACTCTGCAAGCAGCAATATTCCAGCTAAATGGCGGCAAACTGTACATAATTGACATTCCAGTGATCAACAGCATGAGCATCGATTTACGCAATTGGGATACGATGACACGTGTCGACCAAGTCAGCGTGTCTGACAACTTCATCTCGTTAGCGGCATATTACCATTCTCTTCCCACAGAGGTTACTTGTCATATCTTCCTACGAACCTCTGTTCTAATACGGCCATATTTCCCGGTTCTCGTAAAATCCCCTAGCGGCAAAACATCGCAACACGAATTATCTCCCTTCTTTCTATCCAATCAGAACACGTGTTACATCGACTTAGATCCAACTTGACTAATGCAAGCAAATGTGGGGCCACAAATATCCCTCCTCTGCCGGGGACTTGTGTTGATGTGACACACAAGACATTTAATGGCTAGCTTGTCCGTTGTCAACGAGGGCGATGGAGACGCCATTGATCCGCCATTTACATGACTGAGTTCTGTCTAGAAGAAACGTTTGCGCATCGCGCAGGGGAAGAGGTTCTAGTTTTCCCGAAGCATACGGAAATTACCGAGGCCTTGCGAATGATCACTTTTGAAACAACGTCGCTGATTGCACAACTAAAGCTGATTGCAACCAATCACGAATCCTGAACACTCGCACCATGAAAGGGTCGTATTAGAACAGAGGTTCGTAGAAAGTAAACCGATGCATATATTTGAAAACTTTATTGCGGGCGTGACACACCGGGGTTTCCATAGAATGTGTAAATGGGACTTACATGTATACGTGACTTGTGTTTCAATCTAGTCGACTCAACAGTGGGAAAGGATGGCGGGAACATTGGTCCATTTAAGAAGCCTCATCACACATCAATCAAATTTATCGTGCAGCCAAAATCCCAGTTAAAACGGCCTCGCACGTGCATCAACGACAACAGGTGAGCTAACGAGTGGACGAGGTCCAGTATCACAAACTATGTCCTCCGTTAACAATCACTTGCCAATCATCTGCCCCCGTGGGAAAACACCATGTTACAATGCAAAATGGCGGTGGGGTGGCCTAGTGGTTAAATCGTTCGCTCGTCACGCTGACGACCCGGGGTCCATTCCCCGCATGGGTACATTGTGTGAAACCCATTTCTTATGTCCTCCGTCGTGATAGTGCTGGAATATTGGAATATTGCTAAAAGTTTTGCTAAAAGTAAAAGTAAACTCACTCACGTGTTATTGTTATTTAGTGCAGCGCAACCTGTGTGGCGAGACCTATGTGACATAGCTCTTCTGACTTCAGTTACGTCCGCGGGAAAGCAATAACAAGCCACGAGAAAGCAATAACAGAGACCGGAAGCATGAACAGAGACGGGAAAGCAAGAACAGAGACCGGAAAGCAAGAACAGAGACGGGAAAGCAAGAACAGAGACGGGAAAGCAAGAACAGAGACGGGAAAGCAAGAACAGAGACGGGAAAGCAAGAACAGAGACGGGAAAGCAAGAACAGAGACGAGAAAGCAAGAACAGAGATCGGAAAGCAAGAACAGAGACGGAAAGCAAGAACAGAGACGGGAAAGCAAGAACAGAGACGGGAAAGCAAGAACAGAGACGGGAAAGCAAGAACAGAGACGGGAAAGCAAGAACAGAGACGGGAAAGCAAGAACAGAGATCGGAAAGCAAGAACAGAGACAGAGAAAGCAAGAACAGAGACGGAAAGCAAGAACAGAGAGGAAGCAAGAACAGAGACGGGAAAGCAAGAACAGAGAACAGAGACGGAAAGCAAACAGAGACGGAAAGCAAGAACAGAGACCGGAAAGCAAGAACAGAGATCGGAAAGCAAGAACAGAGATGGGACGGGAAAGCAAGAACAGAGACGGAAAGCAAGAACAGAGACGGGAAAGCAAGAACAGAGACGGGAAAGCAAGAACAGAGACCGGAAAGCAAGAACAGAGACGGGAAAGCAAGAACAGAGACGGGAAAGCAAGAACAGAGACCGGAAAGCAAGAACAGAGACGGGAAAGCAAGAACAGAGACGGGAAAGCAAGAACAGAGATGGGAAAGCAAGAACAGAGACGGGAAAGCAAGAACAGAGACCGGAAAGCAAGAACAGAGACGCGAAAGCAAGAACAGTGACCGGAAAGCAAGAACAGAGACGGGAAAGTGATGTTTATGTATTTTGTATATCGCTTTCTCGCCTTATGTTATCGGTTTCTTGCTTTTTTAGAGGCGAGAAAGTGATGTCCCTTCTCGGCTACCATACATATCTACTGCCAGCCATGATTACATAATGAAAAACAAAAAAGTTATTAATGGGCAATTGCACATTTTCAGATGTCGTGGGGGCGGCGTTAAAAGCTGGTGAGCAGATACATGCACGACCATAAATCATGGGATGTCAGATACATAGACCGTAAAAGTGTTTGTGGAGTTCTGAGCCATTCTTCTTGCAATGCCTGCGACAGCTGATCTAACGTCTGACTTTCACGTATGCGTCGGCCGAGGTCATCCCAGAAATGCTTGATGGGGGTTGAGGTCGGGCGATTTGGAAGAACATGGAAGCACTGTGATGTCCTCATTCTGAGGATACTGAAAAATGGCTCAAGCTGTGTTAGGTCTGGCATTATCTTGCTGGAAAACAACTCCCTTTGTCGGTCAATGATTGGAACCATGTGAATCGTAAGAATTGGACCAAATAGCAGTTGAATTGCCTTGAAGGCGCACAAACTTAGATTTGTGCGTGTAGGATATGGTCCCCCACATCATGACACTCCCACCATCACATCGGTCAACCTAGGCGACACAATTCTGGGCAAAACGTTCATTTCGACGTCGATAGGCACGATTCCGCAAATGAAGTACCCAGAAGTACTTATCCTGCGCTGCAGTGGTAATCCGAGATCTGCCACTTCGAGGCCGGTCTTGCGTAGAATTGGTTAGTTGATATCTGCCCCATAAAAGACTGGTTGTAACTGGTCAAAATTAAGGTGACATGCTCATAATCGGTAAAAGTGAAACGTAATTTCAGGTGAACAATTGATGGTGGAGCAGGATACGCTCGCCTTCCCGCAAACACCTGGTATCATTACTTTTTATAGTGCTTCAAGAACATATACTGACATGAAAAACGATCCCTTTGTTTATACTGGAGGCTTCACGGGTTAACGCGTCCATCTACCTCAGTGGTTATGTGTTATTATTAACTGGCTTCCCTATGCCTTTGCAGTCCTAATCCCCATTGTACTGTACAAGCATCTCCTCACACTTGTATATATGCTTCTCTGTCCTCATGGGGGCGGTGGGGTAGCCTAGTGGTTAAAGCGTTCGCTCGTCACACCGAAGAACCGGGTTCGATTCCCCACATGCATGGGTACAATGTGTGAAGCCCATTTCGGGTGTCCCCCACCGTGAGATTGCTGGAATATTGCTCAAAGTGGCGTAAAACTAAACTCACTCACTCACTCACTCTGTCCTCATGTTGTTGGTTTATAGCCGGGAAAGCGACATTTCAAATTATATAGGTAGACTACAGAGGGGCTTTATTTTTGGTTCAGTGATTTTTAATTTAGGCTTTCCCGGCATTTAGTAAGAACATCATAGAAAAAATATAGAACACACTTTATGGATAACAACTTCTTTTTATTCGTGAGTGTGACGTTTCGATACAGATTCTTGTACCGTTGTCAAGCATAATGGAACATGAAGAAGGGGGAAGTATATATATCAAATAGAGTGGTCTGACATCTCCATTCTCTCTAACAAACAAACAGACTTCACTAAACGCAAGCTCACCGAAGGCATCCACATCAAACGCCAAAAGCCCACCATCAACCGAGACCAAGGATACTTCATTCCATCTGCTTATGATGCACTCATCCACCAAGCTCAATCTACTGTATAAACTCTGCTGTATAACATCTCATTATTATTTGTACATCATTGGCTTCCACGCCTGTCCTTTGTCTACTCTCTGGCTTCATCAACTTTCTGCCTTGCCAATTATGTTAATTATGTTGTTTTCTTTGTTACATTGTTACATCCAGCATATATATACTTCCCCCTTCTTCATGTTCCATTATGCTTGACAACGGTACAAGAATCTGTATCGAAACGTCGCACTCACGAATAAAAATAAAAAGAAGTTGTTATCCATAAAGTGTGTTCTATATTGTACTTCCCAACTTCTAAAATGCCACTCAAAGAAGTTATCATAGACAAAGGTTTCTCTTGAAAACACCGTAGTTAATATAAATATATTAATACTATTGATACAGCATATATTTGAGCTGATATATTTAATGTATGATAAATCATTTCACTGCAAATCATGTTCAGTGTCACTGTAAGTGCATCAGATCTGTTACATTGTCAGTGTAATCAGCCTTGCCGGACTGGTTGCTGATGAGGTCATTCTTCAAGGACTGGAGTCGAGCGTTAATATTGCGGTATTTGCGTTTTCTGACTTGTTCTGTCCTGTGTGCATCGATACGATGGATGGCAACTTCAGTGTTCGACTGTTCGCGCTGGAAGAGCTGGATCACCTCGTACATATTTGGGTGACTATTATTGGCTAGTTTGATGTGATTGTGGTTCCAGCCTCCAACGTTGTTGTTTGTCCAATGTCTGGTGTTGGTGTAGTGATACTAGATCCCAGGAAGGAACTGTTGACCTTCAACCCATGTTGCAGTCATGAAGTCCATAAAGGCAAGGATCTTGGGCCCCGCAGGACTGTCGGCTATGACCTGATGGTTTGACGCTTTACCGGGTATACTAAAAACTGAAATGGCGCTTTCCCAGGCCGAGGCCCTTCTGTTCATCACTTGCAGTATAAGGGTATCAGACTGACTGACTGACTCAGTATGTTTAACGCCGCTTTTAGCAATATTCCAGCAACATCACGGCGGGGGACACCAGAAATCGGCTTCACAAATTGTACCCATGTGGATATTCGAACCCGGGTCTTCGGCGTGACGAGCCAACGCTTTAACCACTAGGCTACCCCACGCCCCAAGGGTATCAGAACTTACACCTTCCCCCTGTAATAAAGAAGTTCTTCATCCATATATTGTTATCCTTTCTCATGATACAGTCGATATGGAAAACATTAGTTTACTAAAGAATGTGAAAAGGTTTTAGTACCTCATATTTTAATAAGCCAGGTTAGAACACGCATTGTACACTGTGTTCAATGGCCTCTGTAATTCGTAAAACTTTCTATGATTATAGAAATAGTTATACTTCTAGTATTTCCTTTAAATATTGATATACGTCTTTCCTTAATCCGATAGACAATGGTCTACACCCGCTTCTGGGTATATGGTATGTTTGATGTATATATTGATGTATATATTGTACATATGAGTAAAACGCAAACAGATTTCGATGTATGTAGTTACCCCTGGGCCTAAGGATGGGTTATTGCGGATCTACTTTGAGAATCCCCACGAAGGAATGTAGAAACTGTGAAAGGTGTATACAATTACTTGTTGGTTGTTTAACGCTGCACTCAGAATTCTTCCAGCTATATGACGGAGATATGTAAATAATCTATTCTGGGCCAGAAAGACAAGTGATTGACATCTAAAATATTGATATGAGAAGCAATGACATGTGTCAACCAAACCCCTGGTTTGACAGTAAGTGAGCCTGACCACCTGATCCCGTAAGACTCCTCTTACAACAAGTTGAAGACCATTCCTAACCCGGATCTTTGGTGAGGTGAGGTGAAATTGGGTTTAACGTCGTACTTGAGAATATTTCGCTCATATGACGACGTGCATGCGTGTGGATGTGTATGTGCGGCTGCTTGTACTAGCCCAGACTTAAGCTGGTTTTATAGTGCTAGCCCACTGAGATACCATGCCGCAGTGAAGCATGAATACCCCACTCACACACATTATACTGACTCCGAGCCGACCAGTCCTTGTTGTACCCATTAATGCCGAGCGCCAGGCAGGGACCAACAAGTACCATATTTTAACGTCTTTTGGTATGACGCGGTCTCCGGGCGGACGCTCTAACCACTACACCACGGTGGCGGTTTAACCCGGATCTTCACTGGTGAAGGATACATACAGCACCTTTACAACACGTCATTAACAGTTACCTTTTCATTTTACAACAACATCTTTGCAAATATGAACGATCTTCACTGGCTCGCTTACAATGTTCACACAGATATTGATTATGTCAGCGTCGAGGTGAAAGCATCAGTTCAGGCAAGACGGAGCAGGATTTGATGAACACAGGTGATGTTTTGTTTAGTACCTGTTGATACCTTGCAGTGGTACTTGACTCAGGTAGTGAGTGCATGGCTTTGTAAATGTGTACCACACTGTGTCAAATTATTACATACAATAATAAACATCTTTAAAATAAGTAGATGTTTTACTTCCTGTTAAGCAGGTGTAATGTATACCTAACGATCAGCTTGACTTGTCAGGAGAAAATGTTCAAATATTTTGAAACTATACACAAGGTGCGTAGTCACAAGGCTTGATCCAATGTCAGTGTGACATTTGGGGTTAATATTTATTAGGGGAGATGAAAGGATAGTGAATCCGTTTGATGACAAACGGACTGTAGAAACATAATCGTGGAGAAACCCTTCTTAAATCAGTTTATCTAGATCACAGGACATAATATTCATAGAAAATATGATGAATGTATTTATGGGGTAACAGCGAGTGAGTGGCGTTCTACACGGCTTTTAGCAATATTCCAGCAATATTCCAGCAATATCACAGCAATATTCCAGCAATATCACAGCAATATTCCAGCAATATCACAGCGGGGGAAACCAGAAATGGTCTTTATACATTGTCGCCATTTGAGGAATCATTGTCTTCGGCGTGACGAGCTAACGCTTTAGCCACCAGACTACCACACGGCCCCTTAATTGGGGTAACAGCTAGGTTGAAATGTGAAGTACATCCTATGACTTTACACCTTGTCTCACTTGTTTGTGCGTGCGTGTGTGTGGTGTGAGTGTGTCTGTGCGTGTGTGGTGCCAGTGCGTCTGTGTGGTCTGAGTGCGCCTGTCCGTGTGTCTGGTGTGAGTGCGTGTGTGGTGTGACTGTGCGCGTGTGTGGTGTGAGTGTGTCTGTGCGCGTGTGGTGTGAGTGTGTCTGTGCGTGTGTGGTGTGAGTGTCTGTGCGCGTGTGTGTGATGTGAGTGTGTCTGTGCGTGTGTGATTTGAGTGCCTGTGCGCGTGTGTTTCTGTGCGCGCGTGTGGTGTGTCTGTGCGCGTGTGGTGTGTGAGTGTGTCAGTGCGTGTGTGTCTGTGCGCGTGTGTGGTGTGAGTGTGTCTGTGCACGTGTGTGGTGTGAGTGTGTCTGTGCGTGCGTGTGGTGTGAGTGTGTCTGTGCGTGCGTGTGGTGTGAGTGTGTCTGTGCGCGTGTTGTGTGAGTGTGTATGTGCGCGTGTGTGGTGTGAGTGTGTCTGTGGTGTGAGTGTGTCTGTGTGTGGTGTGTGTGTGTGGTGTGACTGTCTGTGCGCGCTTGTGGTGTGAGTGTGCCTCTGTGTGTGTTCGTGCCTGTGTGGTGTGAGTGTACCTGTGCGTGTGTGTGCCTTACAGCACCTTTGATTTAAATCATATATGTATAAAATGTAAATTATAGAATGCTTTATTTCTGAGTTAGTCATGAGACATCAATGTGCTTTGGAACAAAACTGGTATTTCCTCGTTTTCAAACAATGCAAAAACACAAATTCATTCCTTTTTTAAACCGCCTTGAACTCTGAATACCAGAGCCCCTAGTTTGACAGATATGAGGAATAACCACCACATCCACACTCTTCCCTTCCATAGAGGAAAACCACAGGTACAGGGTGCCGCCATATACTGCACAGGAATATTTCCAAGTACGGCAACTGATATACCTGCTAGTGATTTCTAGTTGCATAATTTAAATATAACGCCGTATAAATAATTCGCACAAATTAGTATTTGCATAATGTGCTGCCATTATTTAGCATATTCTGGGTACAGTCGCTTCGGATGAATGAACAGGCTATAGTAGCTTAGTGGAAATGGACATAATGATTAACAGTGTCAGCTTTTATTATTTTTATGTGATTGTTATATATGCAGTAAATACATAAAAAGCATGTGTAATTATCTCGTAAAACAAGTTGAAAATAGCAATCACCTGAAAATAGTCTTCCAAGATCTCCCCAATTTGTCATATCGGAAGAAGCTGTAGCTGGAACTATTATTGAATCAGGAATAATATACCCTGCAAAAAAAAAAGAAACACAAAAGTGGTTTTCACAGGTATACGTTGCGTATTATATAAATGTTCAACAGAACATAATAAACTGTTCAAATGCTCAATGGGGTTTAGATCTGGAGAAACTGGATGTTGTGATTCTTCAAATGACGTTTGTAAATATGATGTTCCATAATGGGAAGGACGTGTGGCCGAATAAGATCATCTGTGTAACGCTGTGTAACTTGCCCTGGACGTGTACCAAGTCTGTCCTACCGGTATGGGAGATGGCGGCCCACATCATTACACATCCACAAAATCTGTTCACCTCCTGTATGCAGTTTCGAGCATAACCTTCCCCATGACGCAAGTAAACACGACGTCTTACATTTGTACGGAGAAGCACAAACAACGTGACACGTCTCCATTGCTGTTGTGGCCATCCTCTGTGTCTTCGACAACATTGACGTCGCGGATGACAATGCTGATCAGTCAGAATGACCTCTTGAACTGGTCGTCTCGGCCTATTGCATGTACACAGTTCCTCACTGTCTGGGCTGAAATCCTACGCAGTCCTGGCGTTGCTGTTGCTGTAGCTGTAGCTGTAGCTTTAGGGGTGGCCGAGGCGAGTAAGTCACGTAAAAATGACGAAACCGTATGAATCATTGATACGTAGCAGTTTTGACACGTAGTCGAGTTTATCTGGGTAGGTCACCTGCTGACCCCTGATGTGGAACCGCGTCTGGTTTTTGACGATGCGTGGGAACACCAGGCCGCAGCCTGCCGGTGGCATGGTTGCACCGAGCTTCCTCGTGGCATGTTTTCACTTTTCACAAGCTGTACAATGGTGATGACAGACAAATGAAAACCCATCGTTTTCATCCCCCAACAGTTCATGTTGCACGTTCATTACGTGTAGGTGTGTTAGACCACTGTGGCACGCTCGCACGTGGTTGTGTTTCTGCGTTCCCTTACTTTTCCGTTATTTTTCGGCCGTACTTTATTTTACCCGCGCAAATCACCCCCCAATGCACGCAGACATTAGAAATTCATATTTGGCTTTCATACTTTATAGATATCTGTAAAACACAATCGGATATTTAAAAAAAAACTCTACTTTTGCGTTCATTTTTCAACTATAGACACATTACTTATTCCTTGTTATTTTTGTGTCTGCCTGTGCTTTATTTATTTATACAATAACGATAACCTATTGCGTGGCACCATTGTAAGACTTGCACTAGCCTCTAAGGCAATAGGTCTTAGTTCAAATTACAATTTCTAGGTTAATTAAATAATAAGAACAAGCTGTCCTAATAAAATACAGACGACCTTGTTCTTCCCGCATAAATCCACGGTTGCCGCTTATATGGATAAACCCATGAAGATCCGGGTTAGAATTTCTCTTCACAAACCCATGCTTGTCGTACACACATGCATTATATCCCAATTGTGTAGATCCATTCTAATGATGTCAATCACTAGATTGTCAGGTCCAGGCTCGATTATTTTCAGACCGCCGCCATATAGTTGGAATGTTGCTGAGTGCGGCGTTAAACATACTATAGTATAGTGCTAGACATATACTACCCATTAAAAGTTTAGACTCACTTAAAGCATTCACTATATGTTATGTATATATATGACATATGTGGTTACATTGAAGATGAATTCTCCACTAAATTGGGGAACCAACTGCAAACCTTATGCAGATGAATTGCATGATCCTCGTGCATCAAATTGCTGAAAAGCATGTGCAAATATCGTGCATGTGAACAGCTGCGTTTTGGTGTTAAGGTTTGTTAAGAATTCGTTAATTTTCACTGAGTTTCACCTTTTATTGAATTCATGACAATACTCTTTTCAACACTACGACTCTGTTTTACAATACATCAATTCATGTGTAAACAGTACCATTAAACAGTGTGGAATATTTAGCAAAATCTAGTTTAGAACAATTGACAGAAGTAAGTGGCTACATTTACACTAGTGAGTCTAAACTTTTGATGGGCAGTATATTTCACTTCCAATATGAATAACAATATCACGTTCAGCCAGTCGTCAAATATGGCGTTTTATGATGCATGTAGACAATCTGACAGCTGAGGTTCGTATTAAGGTATGACAGCCGACATCTGGTTGCTGGTAAAAGTTTGAGTTGAGAGTGAGTGGGTTTAGTTTTACGCCGCATTTAGCAATATTCCAGCAGGGGCGGATACAGCTTATTGAGAAGTGTGTGTGTGTGTGTGCGTGCGTGCGTGCGTGTGCTCACACTTGAGAAGGGGGGGGGGGGGGACACTTCATTTTTACCCGTTTCAATGGTCATTTTAGTAACATTTAATAAACTTTCAGGACAAAAGGGGGTGCGTGCCCCTGAAACTTGACGCATTTAGCCACAAAATACAAATGGCTACATGTCAGGAACCTGAAACAACCGGCAAGAGGTCGCCGGCAGTGCTCGTGGGCTCGTGTCGTATCGAAAGAAACTTAAAAGGAAAAGTATGGAGAGCATGGATAATTAGAGGAGTGGGTTGATAGGAAACTGAAAATGACAAGGGGAGACAAGTTTGTAAATGCATAGAATTCCATCCTCTAATTTATTAGCTTTTTCTCAGAAGAACCATTGTTTCGTTCTATACTAGATAAGATTGAGTGACAGGCATCATGCCTCACACCGAACAGTTATCAAAGACAAGATTAAAGGTCTCTTGATACCAGTCGTGAAAACGCATTTTGGCCTCGAGCAAGAACGTAAATGCCGAGTAGCTGTTAATGAAACGAGTCACCATGACTTCCGATATGAGTAAAGCTGTTCTTTAAATGGTGGACAATGTTACTTTTTCATTAGTTGTGTTACGCAAGTGGCAACTGAGCACTTCATGAATACGTTAAAATTATGTCGGTGAAGTAGAAACTAGTCCCTGAAAATATAAAACTCTTGGAGAAACAATAACTCCATTTAAACTGAAAAGGAGCCCAGTGGGGAGATTCAGTCGAACTGAGGGAATCTAGACTTGCTTCATTTACGGCTTTTGCATAACAGAAAGGACTGTGCGGAAGGCGGGACGGTATGTTTCAGGGACTGTGAGACAGGCGTAACAAGAACCAATCTGATCCATTTAGGGTGGTGGGGTAGCCTAATGGTTAAAGCGTCGACTCGTCACGCTGACGACCCCGGTTCGAATCCCCACATGGGCACAATGTGTGAAGCCCATTTCTGGTGTCCCCCGCCGTGATATTGCTAGAATATTGCTTAAAGCGGTGTAAAACCAAACTCACTCACTGATCCATTTAACATAAGCAACATATACTGGTATTAAAATGGCGACATCAAACCACTATCAGTTTTCAATTATTCTCTAATACAGTTCTAATACTATCCTCAGTCTGTCTACCAGCCAGTACTAATACTACCCATAATCTACTGAGCAGTACTAATACTATCCTCAGTCTGTCTACCAGCCAGTACTAATACTACCCATAATCTACTGAGCAGTACTAATACTATCCTCAGTCTGTCTACCAGCCAGTACTAATACTACCCATAATCTACTGAGCAGTACTAATACTATCCTCAGTCTGTCTACCAGCCAGTACTAATACTACCCATAATCTACTGAGCAGTACTTATACTATCCTCAGTCTGTCTACCAGCCAGTACTAATACTACCCATAATCTACTGAGCAGTACTTATACTATCCTCAGTCTGTCTACCAGCCAGTACTAATACTACCCTTAATCTACTGAGCAGTACTAATACTATCCTCAGTCTGTCTACCAGCCAGTACTAATACTACCCATAATCTACTGAGCAGTACTAATACTATCCTCAGTCTGTCTACCAGTCAGTACTAATACTACCCATAATCTACACTGAGCAGTACTAATACTATCCTCAGTCTGTCTACCAGCCAGTACTAATACTACCCTTAATCTACTGAGCAGTACTAATACTATCCTCAGTCTGTCTACCAGCCAGTACTATACTACTACCCATAATCTACTCAGTCAGTCTGTCTACCAGCCAGTACTAATACTACCCTTAATCTACTGAGCAGTACTAATACTATCCTCAGTCTGTCTACCAGCCAGTACTAATACTACCCATAATCTACTGAGCAGTACTAATACTATCCTCAGTCTGTCTACCAGCCAGTACTAATACTACCCATAATCTACTGAGCAGTACTAATACTATCCTCAGTCTGTCTACCAGGCCAGTACTAGTACTATACTACCCAGTATAATCTACTGAGCAGTACTAATACTATCCTCAGTCTGTCTACCAGCCAGTACTAATACTACCCTTATAATCTACTGAGCAGTACTAATACTATCCTCAGTCTGTCTACCAGCCAGTACTAATACTACCCTTAATCTACTGAGCAGTACTAATACTATCCTCAGTCTGTCTACCAGCCAGTACTAATACTACCCTTAATCTACTGAGCAGTACTAATACTATCCTCAGTCTGTCTACCAGCCAGTACTAATACTACCCTTAATCTACTGAGCAGTACTAATACTATCCTCAGTCTGTCTACCAGCCAGTACTAGCATACTACCCTCAGTTTAATCTACTGAGCAGTATAATACTATCCTCAGTCTGTCTACCAGCCAGTACTAATACTACCCATAATCTACTGAGCAGTACTAATACTATCCTCAGTCTGTCTACCAGAGCAGTACTAATACTACCCTTAATCTACTGAGCAGTACTAATACTATCCTCAGTCTGTCTACCAGCCAGTACTAATACTACCAGTACTAATACTATCCTCAGTCTGTTAATCTACTGAGCAGTACTCAGTCTGTCTACCAGCCAGTACTAATACTACCCTTAATCTACTGAGCAGTACTTATACTATCCTCAGTCTGTCTCAGTACTAATACTACCCATAATCTACTGAGCAGTCATACTATCCTCAGTCTGTCTACCAGCCAGTACTAATACTACCCTTAATCTACTGAGCAGTACTAATACTATCCTCAGTCTGTCTACCAGTACTACTATCCTCAGTACTAATACTACCCTTAATCTACTGAGCAGTACTAATACTATCCTCAGTCTGTCTACCAGCCAGTACTAATACTACCCTTAATCTACTGAGCAGTACTTATACTATCCTCAGTCTGTCTACCAGCCAGTACTAATACTACCCTTAATCTACTGAGCAGTACTAATACTATCCTCAGTCTGTCTACCAGCCAGTACTAATACTAATCTACTGAGCTGTCTACCATAGTACTAATACTAATCCTCAGTATTAATCTATCCTCAGTCTTGTCCAGCCAGCAGTACTAATACTATCCTCAGTCTGTCTACCAGCCAGTACTAATACTACCCATAATCTACTGAGCAGTACTAATCTACTATACTATCCTCAGTCTGTCTACCAGGCAGTACTAATACTACCCATAATCTACTGAGCAGTACTAATACTATCCTCAGTCTGTCTACCAGCCAGTACTAATACTACCCATAATCTACTGAGCAGTACTAATACTATCCTCAGTCTGTCTACCAGCCAGTACTAATACTACCCATAATCTACTGAGCAGTACTAATACTATCCTCAGTCTGTCTACCAGCCAGTACTAATACTACCCTTAATCTACTGAGCAATCCTACTAATACTATCCTCAGTCTGTCTACCAGCCAGTACTAATACTACCCATAATCTACTGAGCAGTACTCTAATACTATCCTCAGTCTGTCTACCAGCCAGTACTAATACTACCCATAATCTACTGAGCAGTACTTATACTATCCTCAGTCTGTCTACCAGCCAGTACTAATACTACCCTTAATCTACTGAGCAGTACTAATACTATCCTCAGTCTGTCTACCAGCCAGTACTAATACTACCCTTAATCTACTGAGCAGTACTAATACTATCCTCAGTCTGTCTACCAGCCAGTACTAATACTACCCATAATCTACTGAGCAGTACTAATACTATCCTCAGTCTGTCTACCAGCCAGTATCCTCAGTCTGTCTACCAGCCAGTACTAATACTACCCTTAATCTACTGAGCAGTACTTATCCTCAGTCTGTCTACCAGCCAGTACTAATACTACCCATAATCTACTGAGCAGTACTAATACTATCCTCAGTCTCTCTATCAGCCAGTACTAATACTAACCTTAATCTACTTAACAGTACTAATACTATCCTCAATACACCTACCAACCAGTACTGACACTATCCTTAATCTTCAGTCAGTATTAATACTATCCTCAAGACTAGATTCCCCCCAATGCTCATGTTGTCAACCACTGGTTTCTCTTGTCAAGATATGGTTATGTACAGACACCACCACACAGACACGTAATGCTGGCTCAGCTGACCAGATTTTGTTCCATCTTCTCAAAGCAGAGTCCCAGGCTGGGCATCAACAAGCATACGCTTTAACTTGTTTTGTTGCCAGATGCTCCATCCACTAGGCCATTGAGACTGATGCCAAGTTGCATGATGCCAGCTAGATATATTAACATAGTTCCTGTTTTGTTTGTTGCTTAACACAGCACTCAGCATTGTGGTGACCAGATAATCCAGTGATTGACCTCATGACCATCAATCTTGCCAACTGGAATACAACAGGCATCGAGCAAGTTAGTGAACCTAAACCTAAACACCCGATTATGTTAGTCGTCTCTTACGAAAAGCATGGGTTGGTGAAGACAAGTTCCAACGTGTATCTTCATGTTATGTGAGTGAGTGAGTGAGTTTAGTTTTACGCTGCACTCAGCAATATTCCAGCTATATGGCGGCGGTCTGTAAATAATCGAGTCTGGACCAGACAATCCAGTGATCAATAGCATGAGTATCGATCTGCGCAATTGGGAGCCAATGACATGTGTCAACCAAGTCAGCGAGCCTGACTACCCGATCCGTTAGTCGCCTCTTACAACAAGCATGGGTTACTGAAGATCAATTCTGTCCCGGATCTTCACGGGTCTCATGTTATGTTGTTTTACACTTGCCACACCATCAGGTACCACAACATCAATCGGCAAAGTCACCGAGTCATTGATTGCAGCAGTCAAATTCTAATAGTCCCTCGCAGTAGTATTGCTGAAATATTGCTGAAAGCCGTGTAAAACCATACTCCCCTACTCACTCCAATTCTACTCCAGAATCCCAACAGAGCAAAAGACAACACTTTTTTCACTGTCACTGCAATTTCAACTATAATATCTACAACAAATTAAAACAATAAACAAGTTAACTAATCAACAACCTGTTTGTAAATTTCCACTGATGTGATGACACTCACACAGACATGTAATTTGTTTGTTTGTTTGTTGTTTAACTCCACACTCAGCAATATTCCAGGTATATAATGCTGGTCAGTAAACCAGACAATCCAGTGATCAACAACATGAGCATCGACCTACTCAACTGGGATGCGATGACACGCGTCAACCAAGTCAGGGAGTCTGACCACCCGATCCCGTTAGTCACTTCTTACGTCAAGCATGGGTTGCTGAAGGCCAATTCGGCCCGGATTTTCATAAGTAATAACAACCAGTAAAAGTAGGACACCATCTTTATTCCAAGTGGTTACAAAACATATGAGAAACCAACCATAAAATATGATGCTTGTAGAATACAACATTGTCGAAATATAAACACAACATATGTAAATGTCAGACACAACTTACACCTGTTACAAAATATTAGTAGAATCAGTTTTGTAAAGGCAAACGAAAAGTTTAAAACATAATTGGATCACACATTCATGTTACAATACAACTTAGGCAACAATGAATATTGTTTAAGATACATAATTTTGTATACCTTCAGAAAAAGACATTTTACTTATGATTTTATGATATGATTCACTCGCACACATTCCAGCATATCTGGCTCAAAGCAGTTAAGAACAACTAGATTCTTACATGTTACCAAACATAATATGGCATGACTGACCAACTATAGTATAAAATAATTATGTGGTCCTTAACTTCTTTTAAGTAATATATATTCAAAGTGGAGATGCAAAGATCATTTAATAATGGTAAATTATATTCTACTCAAATTATGACAGGGATATTCACATGGGCCATTCTGTTTAGATATGAATCAGTTTTGTGAATTATGGTATCCCTATCATAAATTGAGAGGTATATAACATGTATACATATGCTCCCATCAGTGGTCCTTTAGTAGGCTCTATTCTTCCTGTGTTTCATACCCGTGAAGGTCCGGGTTTAAAAACTAAACTCACTCACTCACTTACTGTGTTTCAATGTATCCTACTCTAAGGACGTTAAGGAACACCTGTTTTAGTGAGTGAGTGAGTGAGTGAGTTTAGTTTTATGCCGCACTCAGCAATATTCCAGCTATATGGCGGCGGTCTGTAAATAATCGAATCTAGACCAGACAATCCAGTGATCAACAGCATGAGTATCGATCTATGCAACTGGGATACGATGACATGTGTCAACCAAGTCAGCAAGCCTGACCACCTGATCCCATTTGTCACCTCTTACAACAAGCATGGGTTACTGAAGATCAATTCTAACCTGGATCTTCACGGGTAGAACACCAGTTTTTATCTCATTTGACTAACTTCATAGGTAATCTGTTAAGGATAGTATTACACACAGCCTTGAAAAAGTGCGAGTTCCTTAACTTATTTTGAGTCATATATTACAAAGTAGGCACAATGGCTGTACATTCAATACACTACCTGTCTCAAGGATGTCAGCTGGTCTTAAGAACAATATATATTTTAAAGATAAGTATTTAAAAAAAGTTTGATGATTTGATCAAAATGTCAAACTGAAAATATTGAAAATGGAGTTATGGTATAATTTCTACTGCACTGGGCCTTACTGAATTCACACTTTTTAACACATGAATACAAGGAAATTATGTCTGATTAATAGTTTCCGTCAAAAGAATAATTAATAGTATATATCTTAAAAAATATTTTTAACACATCTTGATGACAGGTTTATCTATAAGTAAACATCATACTTTTTACACCAGTATCCTTGCATCATATTTTGTACGTTTACGTTTTTTCACCAATTGGTAATGAGCGGCGTTATTTATTTGATGATGTCATACAGCATCATGAAGTCATCCGATCACATGACAATAGTGATGTCGTAGTATTAGAACAATGCAGTTCCACATATTTTCTTTTATTTAAAGCAAGACTTTGTGAGTTGTAAAATGGGAATTAATTCATATTTTCTTTGGAATATTTTGGCATATAATTGAGGGTATATAAAAATATTGGCAAGATCAGTTCATGTTGGTGACAATGACATGTTGACCTACAGTATGCCAGTACACGGCAGTTTGAGTTGTATGTAGTTTAAAGTTTGTTTATCTGTTATTTGTTTAACGCTGCACTCAACAATATTGCCACGATGTATCATGCTTGTCTATCGTGAGTGAATGAGTGTGTTAAATTTTATGCCACACTCAGCAATATTCTAGCTATATGGCAGTGGTCTGTAGATAATCGAGTCTGGTGCAGTCAATCTAGTGATCAACAGCATGAGTATCGATCTATGCAATTGGGAACCGATGACATGTGTCAACCAAGTCAGCGAGCCTGAGCACCTGATCCCATTTGTCACCTCTTACAACAAGCACGGGTTGCTGAAGATCAATTTTTTAACCTGCATCTTCATGGGTAATGCTGGTCTGTAAATAATCAAGTCTGGATCAAACAAACTTGTGATCAATATCATGAGCATCAGTCAACACAATTGGGATCACCGGCAGGCAATAACCAAGTCAGTGAGCCTGACCTACAATCCCTTTAATTGTCTTTTACAACATGCACAGACTACTGAGGAGCAATTCTATCCAGCATTTTCACTGTGGCAGTTTGAACTCAATTCAAAGTCATACCAGCTGACATCCATAAAAATGATTTACTCGATATATATATAGTTTTCATGGCTAAAAGACAGAAATTCCAAAATATCAGATTTGAGACAAGGGAGGCAAAATTACCAGTATTTAAACAACCAAGTGCATACTCCAAGGGAGGTAAGTGATGAGAGGTCAAATATTTATGCCTTGGCAGTCTGGTACCTCAGCTGCCTGAATGGAGCCGATGCCATACATTGGTACACATTGTCTCTGATTGGAGCAATGACTGTAGGCCATTGTGAAATTCCCCTCTAAAACATGTGAAAGATAATCACAGATATGTCATAAAAATCAAATTGGGATTTTCAGTTTATTTCCTGATTTTGAAATAAACAATATCCAAGACATTTTGTAAGATAATGGAACATATAGATAATTATACATTAACTAACCTAATGAAAGAACAATATTGTTTTAAGTAAAAAGCTGGCAACACAAATCTAAGTATCAGTACAGAAATCGGACCGGTCTCTCTGCAAGTCAGTTATAAAATCATATTCATAATGATTAAAATGTAAGTGATTTTGTGGCATACAATTAGTTAACCAAAAACTTAATTTTACATTTATATGTCAATAAACAGAACAAGTTTGGCTTTAACCATTTCCTGTATTTTTAACTGGGTGTGGCTTGTCTTGCATTATTGACCTTAATAATGTCACTGGTTTCTCTGCACACCGGTATTTACACATAAAATGGCCAAAAATACACATTGCTATTTAATCAAAAACATTTACAATATATGAGAAGAGGTGTAGTTGGAACTAATGATTTTATGATATTACTGTACAAAAAGTTAATAATATTACTAAAACAACAATTTCATGATAAACCAAAAACTAGTTCATGAGATTATTAAACAAGTTCATGATATTACTAAAACAAGTTCACGAGCTTAGTAAAACAAGTTCACAATATTACCATACAAAAAGTTCATGATATTACCATAAAAAAAGTTCATGATATTACTAAAACAACAAGCTCATGATGTTACTAAAACAACAAGCTCATAATGTTACTAAAACAATAAGCTCATGTTACTAAAACAACAAGCTAATGATGTTACTAAAACAAGCTCATGATGTTACTAAAACAACAAGCTCATGTTACTAAAATAACAAGCTCATGATGTTACTAAAATAACAAGCTCATGATGTTACTAAAACAACAAGCTCATGTTACTAAAATAACAAGCTCATGATGTTACTAAAACAACGTTCATGATGTTACTAAAACAACAAGCTCATGATGTTACTAAAACAACAAGCTCATGTTACTAAAACAACATGATCATGATGTTAGCTCATGATGTTACTAAAACAACAAGCTCATGATGTTACTAAAACAACAAGCTCATGATGTTACTAAAACAACAAGCTCATGATGTTACTAAAACAACAAGCTCATGATGTTACTAAAACAACAAGCTCATGATGTTACTAAAACAAAACAACAAGCTCATGATGTTACTAAAACAACAAGCTCATGATGTTACTAAAACAACAAGCTCATGATGTTACTAAAACAACAAGCTCATGATGTTACTAAAACAACAAGCTCATGATGTTACTAAAACAACAAGCTCATGATGTTACTAAAACAACAAGCTCATGATGTTACTAAAACAACAAAATGCTACTAAAACAACAAGCTCATGATGTTACTAAAACAACAAGCTCATGATGTTACTAAAACAACAAGCTCATGATGTTACTAAAAGCTCATGATGTTACTAAAACAACAAGCTCATGATGTAAAACAAGCTCATGATATTACTAAAACAACAAGCTCATGATGTTACTAAAACAACAAGCTCATGATGTTACTAAAACAACAAGTTCATGATGTTACTAAAACAACAAGTTCATGATGTTACTAAAACAACAAGCTCATGATGTTACTAAAACAACAAGCTCATGATGTTACTAAAACAACAAGCTCATGATGTTACTAAAAAACAAGCTCATGATGTTACTAAAACAACAAGCTCATGATGTTACTAAAACAACAAGCTCATGATGTTACTAAAACAACAAGCTCATGATGTTACTAAAACAACAAGCTCATGATGTTACTAAAACAACAAGCTCATGATGTTACTAAAACAACAAGTTCATGATGTTACTAAAACAACAAGTTCATGATGTTACTAAAACAACAAGTTCATGATGTTACTAAAACAACAAGCTCATGATGTTACTAAAACAACAAGCTCATGAAGTTACTAAAACAACATGTTCATGATGTTACTAAAACAACAAGCTCATGATGTTACTAAAACAACATGTTCATGAGATAACTAAACAAGTTGATGAGTTTATTGAAATAAGACATTCGTGCAATGCCCCTGCGTGCTATTCCTAAAAAAAGTTTATGCGATTACTAAAACATGGTCATGAGATTGCGAAAAATAATCATGAAAGTAAAATTGACTAAACATGCAAAAAAACAACAGCTGTTTTCAATAAAAACAACAAAACAGACAAAACAAACAAAAACAAGAAGTTCAGGGGCAGAGAACTCCTTAACCAACTGAGACGATACTGAAACAACTTATATATTCACTGACTTTTCTGTGGCTATTTCATTATGCCCCTGGTAGAAATGACGCATACAATCACGCTTACAACCAATCAAAACAAAAGGATCGAATCACAAAACAGTAATACCTGATTCTGATTGGTCAGCAAATAATCACAAACATACATCATATATACAACAGTAATATTTATACGTTGAAAATGTCCACTTGACTGCCATAGAAGCACCCATAAAACCATCATCATCATCATCCCTCTTACTTCAAACAATTCTCTATCACACCACAATTCAGAAACCCACAAAAAACTACTTATATTGTACCACAAACAGCTGCACATTAATCAAAATAACATTATATATATCTGAGTAGAGATTGCGATCTGGTAGAATTAGTAGAGATTGCGATCGGAGTCTCCACTGGTAGAATTTCTGATCCTACTTTAGCCTTTTAACACCTTGGCATTATTCAGTCTAAAGTTATCTTAAAATAACTTATGTAAAGTGACTCTGGACAAAAATAACAGGCTTTAGTCATACCATGTTGTATAAAAAAATTACTTCGTATATGTATCATATAATTATGAAAATGTCAGGAAATAAATCTGACACAGTCATATATTTACATGTATATATCACAAAGCAGGTAACTGGATTCACCTGCACAACGAACACCTGTAATTAACACAACCATCTGCAGACAACTCATCAGCAGGTAATATCGGACAAGTTGTTTACACATGACAACTACCCTTTAGGACAAAACAACAACTCTATCTACATTTCTACAATTATTGAAATATCTATCATGTCTATCTGTGCACAACCACCAAAATTTTGCTTCTATTTAGTAATTAGTTCTTAAGCACAACTGCATAGGCTGATTAATAATCCTCACAGACTGTCTTGGTCTGTGCTGCCTTCAATGGTATGCTTGTCATCTTCATCAGGAATAAACAACTGATGTGATGCTGGTCGAAGTCAGGTACCACTATGGTGATACCTGTGAGCAAAGTGTGATGCTGGCTACCCCAGAAACATAGTCAGGGTTACAGGGTTAAAACTAGACTAACACTTAGCCCCTGAATATATACAAATTTGATAGTAACAAATAATCCATTTAAATTGAAAAGGAGCCTCAGTAAGACGTGACAAAGAACCTGAGGAAATCTAGACTTGCTTCATTTAGGGATTTAGCACTGCAGGGAGGGCTGGGCAGTAGGGAAAATATTGTGGTTTCGGGGGCTGTGAGACAGACGAGGCTAAAACCCATAATTCTTTGTTTCTGGGATGCCAATATAGGGGAGATAACTCTGCACGTCAAATTGTGGGTATGAGACAAATGGACGGACCACACTGCCAGGAATTATAAGTAAATGTAGCTACAGCTGGCTATCGATATGGATCATAGAGAACAATAATTGCAATTAAATATCGATCGATTATCGATAAATATTGGAAATGTAACTTTGTAAATGCCAAAACAGTCTGAAAGGAATCAACATATTCCACATCACTGGTGAGTGGTGACACATTATGCATGGATTACAAACAAAACATCATCCTGAACATAATTTTGGAATGCATAAATACCAAAATTTATTTCATCACAAAGTATATGTATGTTATTATCGATGACACCATTTTCATATCAATACTCATTGATAATTTTTCCCATCAATGAAATTTCCGATTATCGATCGTTTAAGCCGGCAGTTAGGAGTGAAGCAACATGAACTAATTACAAATACATAATCTGAACCATACAATATGTGTCCTCTGTGGTTTCTTGACTAAAAACCATTCTGAATATCTCCATAATACCGGTATATTTGGATAAGCAATAAAAAAAAGAGAGTTATAAGACTAGTAAGTTTGGGAAGCACCTTAACATTTTGTTAACACACAATCTAATGACTAAGCTGTTTTCTCACATTAATAACAAAATCTCACATACACACACTTGCCATGTTTTCATAGGCTCACGTGTGCACAAATTCCCTTGGCACCGAGAGCATATGTCGGAAGTGACAAAGAAGCCACATGGAGTGTCCTTCCTTGGATATGCCAATATAAATGATTTTGATTAAAATGACCCATCCCCCCTCCAATATATACATGTGCATGCACATGGCATGGAAAGAACACATGGTGAATGTTAAAAATGGCCGTCCCCAAAAATGGGTCAGGACCGAAAATTAATTTTTGTTTGATAACAATCTGACTTGTTTGTGTCAGACTTTCATCTGTAGTCTGAGAACATGGCTAATGACAAGACCGGGTATTTTATGTACTGAAAATAATGTTATAGACCCACTTTTCTCAAAACCCTCACCCCACCCCACCACAACACACACCCAGCCCCTGTCCCTGTGTTTAACTATGAGGAACTCCACTGGCATCGGACTAAATGCTGGATGTTCATGTCAACCTTCAAGCAGCGTTTAAAATTCCCGCCTGCCCGACCGTCCAGAACGGTCTATTTTCATCTCGGACGGTCAAATTTGAAAAGTAGCCTGTCCGGTGGTCTGGTAGATATTTTTACTCCTAAAAGTAAATATTTCATATCAGACAGGTTCTCTTGTCGTCAGTTTGAGGTGTTTAAGGTATTATGATAATTATGTTAAACTATTTACGATTGGACAGTTCATGTTACGATAACCAATCACAACACGTGTACTTTCAGTGTACCTCAACTCGTGCATTGCCTGTTAGTGCTATGTAGTTCATTGCGATGCCTACAAACAGTAAAGAATTCAGAAACCTGATTTGGTTTCTTTTTTTATTGTTGAAAACTGGACAGGCAAGTTTGTATCCAGACTGATAATTTTTTTAAGTTACCAGTCCGGCTGTCGAGCTTGGAATTTTGGGAGTTTTAAACACTGCTTCAAGGTAACTGTTTTGGCTCAAACATGCATAATCTAGAGTGTATAGATACCCCCGTAACCATGGTAACAACGTAACTAGTACAAGAAACATCAAGAGCAATTCTGGAATTCAAACTCAGGATATCACAACAAACTGTAGCACCCTTGACAACTGGGCCATCATAGACCCTAGCGTTGGGAATTGGTTGAAATATCACACTTGATGATAGCTTCATTGCCAACGAACAATCATCGAAAAAAATTGGTTAGCGTCATTTTTCAGATTTTCCTATCCAGGTTGTTATTGCAGATATGTATAACATGATGCAACCTGCTACTTTCAAGTGATGACTGATATGTCATGAACATAAATTTCCTGGAGTCTTAGAGAAATATTCAGTCATGACCTTTCAGATAGTGAAGTGAAATAAACACGTTTTCAGGCCCTGACAACTTCTAAGATACGTTCTATTGTCAAGTATTTTTCAAAAACTAAAACAGTAGTTCCAAAATCGTTTATGTTCAATTATGAGAAAATGTGATCGATTGCTTGGTCGTTTGGTCACTGCGACCAATCTTCGATTATTTCAATTAATCGGAACACCACTAATAGACCCTGGATTGATTCTTAACATTCAAGTACAGGCACACCAATAAAAACAACAGAGAGCATCCAAACAGGTGAATATGTACACAGTGTAGTTATAATCAGTGGAATTATACAGTAAATCATGTAGACAGCGAAAAACAAGGTGTGCCAATTGCATTTGGTTTGATGGGATCTCCATTTATAATGTGGTAAGTTGTCATATGATTCACATTTATGTGGATGCTGATTGGTTGTTGTCTGCTAATTTTCCCTGGTGCGCCTGTACTTGATGGGGACTGTACATAGAGTGAGTGAGTGTGTGAGTGAGTTTAGTTTTACGCCACTTTTAGCAATATTCCAGCAATATCACGGCGGGGGACACCAGAAATGGCAATTCACACATTGGACCCATGTGGGGAATCGAACCCGGATCCTCGCCTTAACCACTAGGCTACCCCACCGGCCCGACTGTACATAGAAGTAGCCATAACATGCAATAACCAGACACAGTAGCTGGACTCCATAGATGGTTGTGTGAAGCCCATTTCTGGTGCCTCCCGGCATGATATTGCTGGAATATTGCTGAAAGCAGCGTAAAACCTCTCACTCACTCACATACATGGTTCATTTGTCATGGTCCTTAAACTGCCATAGTCACCACAACCGCTTCATCGGGAACATTGTGAATTCCACATTTACTTGTCCATGAAGAACAGATATAGTTTCTTGTCATGCTGTCATGCTGTCATGCTGGGATTAGTGTCAGTGATACAGGCGGTTTCCAAATATAATTTCTACATGTGTTGTCTATGAAGAAAACATGTATATTCCTGTCACGATCCATTCAGTTTATCAACAATGCACCAGGTTTTTCCATATAACCTTTCCACATTTCTTGTCCAAGAAGAAAACATGTATTTTTGTCACTATGTCATGATCGATTCAGTTAATCAACAATTTCCTCATAACCTTTCCACATTTTTCGTCCATAAAGAACACATATGTAAAGTCTGACATGATCGATTCAGTTTATCAACAATGAATGAGTTGTTTCCATGCTACCTTTCCATGAACACAAAACTCTGATTAAGGACATATGCCTGTGATGATATTTGGCTGCCATGCTGGACTCGTTCTCTGTATGAGGAACACATCAGTAAACATTAACAGAACTACTTTCCATGAACACAAACTTGATGTGTTCCTTGCACAATGAAGGTACACATTAACAGATGCAGCAGAAGCTCTTCATGACATCTTCATGTCATATTTTGAACTGCCACTATTGTCTCGTGTACATGATCAGGAACACATCAGATACAACAGCTTCTCTCCATAACATGTTCTTGTCAGGATAACGTGTTCTTGTCAGGTATTTCGGGCTGGCACATGATCAGGAACATGTCAATAGATACAACAGCTTCTCTCCATAACGTGTTCTTGTCAGGATAACGTGTTCTTGTCAGGTATTTCGGGCTGGCACATGATCAGGAACACGTCAGTAGATACAACAGCTAACTGTTCCATAACGTGTTCTTGTCAGGATAAGCGTGTTCTTGTCAGGATTTCGGGCTGGCACATGTTCAGGAACACATCAGGTATTTCTCCATAACGTGTTCTTGGCACATGATAAGGAACACATCAATAGATACAACAGCTTCTCTCCATAACGTGTTCTTGTCAGGTATTTTGGGCTGGCACATGTTCAGGAACACATCAGTAGATACAACAGCTTCTCTCCATAACGTGTTCTTGTCAGGTATTTCGGGCTGGCACATGATAAGGAACACATCAATAGATACAACAGCTTCTCTCCATAACATGTTCTTGTCAGGATAACGTGTTCTTGTCAGGTATTTTGGGCTGGCACATGATAAGGAACACATCAATAGATACAACAGCTTCTCTCCATAACGTGTTCTTGTCAGGTATTTCGGGCTGGCACATGATAAGGAACACATCAATAGATACAACAGCTTCTCTCCATAACGTGTTCTTGTCAGGTATTTCGGGCTGGCACATGATCAGGAACACATCAGTAGATACAACAGCTTCTCTCCATAACGTGTTCTTGTCAGGTATTTCGGGCTGGCACATGATAAGGAACACATCAATAGATACAACAGCTTCTCTCCATAACGTGTTCTTGTCAGGTATTTCGGGCTGGCCCATGATCAGGTATTAGGGGCTACCATGGTGTTGTCTGGCACATCATCAGGAACACGGCAATAATTTCCACATTATCCCCCGTGAACACGAAGCTTGGATCGTATGCCAGTGACGTTATTGCTGCTGCCACAATGGAAATGTTCAGAAATACAACAACAAACTTAACAAATCCCTTAAAAACACAAGTTCTGGCAAATGCCTCTGTATTTGGAATTCTTGTCATGTTTCTGGATTTCACAAACATAGGTCTTTCCTATTCCATTCAAATAAAACAAGGAAATCTTGACAGTGAATCAGGATTTCTTGGTCTGCTTGTTGAGGCTCTCTGGTAGCACAAGGCACTGTATGATGCTAATAGCAAACACTAAGCCGAAGATGAGGAACACCAGATTGTGGTCAAATGGTGGCCCGAGATATTCCGCACCATAGCTGATTGACCAGGCATAAACACTCCCTCCAACTGTAGGGGCTAGAGTCCTGTAAACAGAAGAATACAAGTGATGACCTTCACCTCATATGACCTTTATTAACCACAGATTTTGGACAAGTGTGTAAAGTGCTATGCTGAGTTTATATATTGGTAAGGGAAACCATAAATTGGTTTCTAGGTTTAACCAGTTGGATGTTTGCTACATACAGTCGAGCACCGTTGTGTCGAACTCTGATAACTCGATATCTCGGTTGTCTCGATATAACATCTCGATCCCGGCAAAATCCTTCATGATTTATCATTATTCAAGCTCTTTTAACTCGATACGGATGTCTCGATATTTCGGATATCTCGATATAATTTCATGGTCCCAACAAGCAAAATTACCCTTTTAACTCGATATTTGCAAAGGAACTCGATATTCACCTACCTTTCATGGGCAAGTATCCCTCTAAACTGAGGGTATTTCCACACATTTACACAAGGTGTGGCATGAATCAAAGGGGTGTGTTGGTGTAAACTAATTAGTCCTAATTGAGATGAAGGTGCCACTTGTTTGTTATTAAATTATAATTAATTCGGAAGTACTCACTGTTACGACCAAACACTACTGACAACGGATTATAGAGAGAATCCAATGAGGGTTTTGTGTAATCACGTGACTATCATGAAACTGTTGAAATTGCGGAATTGTTTCCTTTCATATGCCCTGGTCGGATGTCTAGAAGTTCGGATAACTCGATATTTTTTCTTGGTCCCATAAATATCGAGACAACGGTGCCCGACTGTATTTACACAAAGTCATGTTCAATAAAGTGTTTATACATTGGTTCCATGTCCAAAAAACATTTTTACATAGGGTCCACTTAAATTAAAGGTTTCCTCACTGGGCCCACTTAAAGGTTCCTTCACAGGATCCACTCAAAGGTTCCCTCATAAGGTCCTCATTAATTAGATGTTCATACACAAGGTCTACTTAATGGTAGCTACATAGGTCCACTTAAAATAAAGGATCCCTCACAGGATCCACTCAAAGATTCCTTCATAGGGCCCACTCTAATTAGATGTCAATACACAGGGTCTACTCAAAAGGTTCCTACGTAGAGTCCACTTACATTTAAGCTTCCCTCCCTGGGTCCACTTAATGGTTCCTACATAGGGTCCACTTAAATTACAGGGTCCACTTAAATGTTTCTACATAGTGTCCACTTAAATTACAGGTTTTCTCACAGGGTCCACTTAAAGCTTTCTACATAGGTCCACTTAAATTACAGGTTTTCTCACAGGGTCCACTTAAAGGTTTCTACGTAGGTCCACTTAAATTACAGGTTTTCTCACAGGGTCCACTTAAAGGTTTCTACATAGGTCCACTTAAATTAAATGTTCATACAAAGGATCCATACAGTGTCCACATGAACATAAAGTTGATACACACTGTTCATGTACATCCTACTCGCAGGATTGTTCTTAAAGCTTACAACAATATGGAGTTGATGAAATCACAACTGATCACAAAAAGTTTCTGATTACAGTTCAGCCTCTAGTAGACTCTTCTGGTATCACTGACCTTGCTATAGCAGTGAAGGTCATGGCTATACCATTGACTGTTCCGGCATTCAGTGGGTTGGCGGAGTTGTTTATCATCAAGGACGAACCAGAAAAGCAGCAGTTGACGGCCAGTCTCTCCGGCAACGTAATCAACATCAACAGCGTCCATAACAACACCTTGCTGAAGACCAAAGTTAGGAGAAGATGAACCAGTTCTTTCCATTGATAACATTAGACTTTACAAAGAAAATAAAAAGTGAAATCGAAAAAAGACTTTAATCATCCATAACCGTGGAAAAGAAAACATGGAAAAGGGAAAAGATTTGGTTAAAAAAGTTGATTCTCCAAGTGAGTGAGTGAGTATGGTTTTACGCCACTTTTAACAATATTCCAGCAATATCATGGCAGAGAATACTAGAAATGGACTTCACACATTGTATCCATGTGTGGAATCAAACCTGGGCTTTTGGTTTGACGAGCGAACGGTTTAACCACATGGCTACCCCACTGCCCCGCTTTTCCAAGTACTCAAAACAACGTTGGGGCCAAAGTCAGAAAGTCAAGAATGCCATTCCTGCTTAAAAGCTCTGATTTAATTTGTTTGTCATTTAACGCGGGATTCAGTAATAATCCAGCAATTTGATGGTCACCTGTAAATTTTGACTATGGATCTGACAATCAATTTAGACAACAAACCAAATGATGAGTTATAGGCCTGCGCCCCATTCCTCAAAGCGATCGTAGCTCTACGACAGTAATAAGTCTATGTTAAAGCATGGGAGTTGCGATCATCATACCTCTATGAACGCTTTGAGGAACGGGACCCTGGTCCACGTTTCACAAAGCTAACACACCGCTACAACTGTCGTAAGTATATGATAAACCATTGCAGTTATCACAGTCGTAACGTTACGATTTCTTTGTGAATCGGGGACCTGCATATTGAGTGTACATAAAACAACATTCAGTCACTTACTTGTCATGAAGCCGGTGCAGCATGGGCAGCGTCTGAACTGTCACCACCAACACCATTCCTCCTATCAGGAAGGTCTGCAAGAGCAAAATTCAAATATTCAAAGATCTTATTAAATTCTATCGAAATCTGTTAAAATCTGACGAAATTCCCACTAATATGGAGACATCACATCTCCGGCCTCCGAGATAGTCTGTATCAGGAGTTTTGCCACTGGTCTACCCCTTCAGCTACTTTAGGGCATGAAGGGATCACACCTTCAATAGTTTAGTTATGTCATGGTGAGTCAGCCTTATTTGAAAGGAAAGCAACTTATGAAAAGCTGGCTATTTCTGTGTGGTTAAACCCATATTCATAGTAACGTGTGAGTACACAACTGAGCACATGGTCGCCATTCTGCTAGCTCTCTACACATGCGTGCTGGGGGAGTCCTCCCTAAATACCTCCACAGGGACCATTAATTTAGCTATTCTGCCACTGCTGTCACGATACATCATTCATCAGTGTTTGAGACATGTATTATGTTAATACACCTATGGTTAACGAGAGAGCATATAATAGATTATTATTATATGGTCTCTGGGTTAACAAAGACTTTATTATTAATAGTCCGTCTTCATGAGGCAAGAAGAACGCTGACATGACATTATAAAATATTCACTGCAATTAAGCAGACATCTGTCCTACCTTCTTAATTCCAAATTTGAGAACCATTGCTGGATATACTAATAGTTGAACGACCAGAATTGGCACCGAGACCACGCCCAGCGCCAGACCAATCTCGTTGGATGTGAACCCCATGCCATCTGCAAAAAGTAATCAGAAACATCATGTTATGTTTTGCTTGTTCGTTATAGTCCGTTTGGCTCAAAAGCGGACCGATGAATTGCAATCTAACTCGAAAACTAATAAACATAAAATACTCAATGAAACGCTGATCATAATCAAAACATCATACCCACTCTGTGAGATGTTTGCAGAATTTTTGTCCTAAAAATAAAAAAGTTGTTTAACAAACTATCATTAAAATATTGACACAGTTCACTACTTGTTACGAGGGAGGAGTGCAGAGAAAGGGACAGCCAGGTGTTCGAGAATGGATGGAGACAGCACAGCACAGGTTAATGAATAAATAACACGGACTACAGTCAACTCTCGTTAATCCGACACTTGTGGTTGCAGAGAAATATGTCGGATTAACGAAAATGTCGGATTAATGAAAATGTCGGATTAATGTATTTGTGTGAAAATATCAATGTTTACTAAATGTCATGATCGTCATACTGTTGCATGCATATCAGAAATGGTAGATCTAGTTATCTTCATCGTATGTAAAAATATTCACAGAAATAAAAAATACTAACAATACATACTTGTTTTCATTTATTAACATTCATAGATGGCATAACATACATATACAATCACATAAGCGAACAGTTTCATATCTATTTCATGACCACATTGGCACAAAACTCACGTTTGTTTTTACCGCATATCAGCTGCCATTATGACCCGGATGTTACAGTTTCCATACAACTAATTCCATAATAACATGTGGACGTCTAATGTACACTCAGGCGTGTATCATAACATATATAATTTATAACTTGAAAAAATCTTTGATGGTCATTAACATCAAACACATCTAAGTGGTGTGTCAGAAATGTTTGCAAAGTGTTCAACGATGTTTTGGCCTCAGATAGCTTGAAGCATTGGAATCAGTCATAGAGATGCTCAACCACTAAGCAGACTGCTTCAGGATGTCAGATACGGTTGATCGTCCAATCTTCACATCAAACTTCTGCTCAGCAAAAGTGATGACTTCTTGTTTTGTTGTCTGGGGTTTGTCTTTCTTCAAAGGAGATTTCTTTCTTGATCAATGGCGTAACTTCTACAAGGGGTCGCTTAGCAGGTGGTGTACTCGTGACCAATATCTTGTGATGAAAACTCATGTTGGTTGTATCATAAACATTTTATACAGCTCGCTCCACTGTTATTTCTTGATTAAATCGTCTCAATTAATTATCCTGTGTTCCTAATTAACAAGTTTGATGTTCACTGACGCCGCTGTCAAGCAGCCAGTAAGGCACACGCTAATTATCACTCACGTGTGATTGTTTGTATACGGTCGGATATACGGTCGGATCATCCGACCGGCTGTGTTGATTGTCGGATTAACGAATGTTTTTACACTGTATTTACAATAATCAGCTGCTAGATTGGTGTGTCGGAGTCGGAATGCGAGAATGTCGGATTAACGAGAGTAATTACACTGTTTTAAATGGTTCCCTAATTTTTTGTCGGATTAACATGATTGTCGGATTAATGAGTGTCGGATTAACGAGAGCTGACTGTATAGTTGTTCTTCTGTTATTCCAGCTACATGAAACAGCCCAACAATGCAGTGACTGACATGTCCTTGACCTACACAATGACCTTGACCTCAAACAGGTCGGCGAACCTGACCACCCCCATCTCCTTGCCTCCTTGCAGAGCTTCACAGGTCAATGCTACATGAGAAAGGATGTATCTTTCTTCAATGGACACAAGCCATGTGGAATCCTGGTAAGAATAATTGATCAGGAATTGGAGTGAATGAGTTTAGTTTTACTCTGCGCTCAGCAATGTTTCAGCTATATGGCGGCAGTCTGTATATAATCGAGCAGACAATCCAGTGACCAACAGCAGGAGCATCTAACTACACAAATTCGATACGATGACATGTGTCAACCAAGTCAGCGAGTCTGACCATCCGATCCCGTCGGTTGCCTTTTATGACAAGCATGTGTTGTCGAAGACCAATTCTAACCCGGACCTTCACGGGTAGGAACTAGAGGATTGCATGTCGTGACATACACACTGGGTAGGAATTGGAGGATTGCATGTCATGACATACACACTGGGTAGGAACTGGAGGAAATCATGTCATGACACACACACTGGGTAGGAATTGGAGGATTGCATGTCATGACACACACACTGGGTAGGAATTGGAGGATTGCATGTCATGACATACACACTGGGTAGGAATTGGAGGAAATCATGTCATGACATATACACTGGGTAGGAATTGGAGGATTGCATGTCATGACATACACACTGGGTAGGAACTGGAGGAAATCATGTCATGACATACACACTGGGTAGGAACTGGAGGATTGCATGTCATGACATACACACTGGGTAGGAATTGGAGGTAGGAATTGGAAATCATGCCATGACATACACACTGGGTAGGAACTGGAGGAAATCATGTCATGACATACACACTGGGTAGGAACTGGAGGAAATCATGTCATGACATACACACTGGGTAGGAACTGGAGGATTGCATGTCATGACATACACACTGGGTAGGAACTGGAGGAAATCATGTCATGACATACACACTGGGTAGGAATTGGAGGATTGCATGTCATGACATACACACTGGGTAGGAACTGGAGGATTGCATGTCATGACATACACACTGGGTAGGAATTGGAGGATTGCATGTCATGACATACACACTGGGTAGGAACTGGAGGAAATCATGTCATGACATACACACTGGGTAGGAATTGAGGAAATCATGTCATGACATACACACACTGTTGATGTCATGACATACACACTGGGTAGGAATTTGCATGTCATGACATACACACTGGGTAGGAATTGGAGGATTGCATGTCATGAACTGGAGGAACTGGAGGAAATCATGTCATGACATACACACTGGGTAGGAACTGGAGGAAATCATGTCATGACATACACACTGGGTAGGAACTGGAGGATTGCATGTCATGACATACACACTGGGTAGGAACTGGAGGATTGCATGTCATGACAACAATCATCACATTGTAGGTGGGAGGATTGCATGTCATGACATACACACTGCTGTGATATAGCTGAAATACTGCGGAGTAAAGCATTAGAACAATTCAAAGGAAAAACATTTACTAAATAGCTCTGAACTGTATATGGACAATTAAATGATTAGAAGACTCACTGTAGTGTGGTTCTGTAGACAGGAAGATGGTGAAGACGTCCTCTACGCCAATCACGCCAAAGGAAAACACAGTGTACAGAAGTATGCTGTCCCTGATGTCACTGACGCTGCAACAAAATAGGATGAAGATCAAAATGGAGAACAAATTCATGTGAGCCAATGCTTTAACCACTAGGCTATCACCTAGGAGAGACAAATTACTGACTGATGAGACAAATAACCACTAGGCTACACCGCCCGGAGAGACAAATTACTGACTGACTGACTGAGTTTAGTTTAACCACTGCATCACCCGAGAGACAAATTACTGACTGGCGAGCCAACGCTTTAACCACTAGGCTACCCCACCGAGAGACAAATTACTGACACTGATGCTCATGACAACAATCATCGGATTGTCTTTGAGAGACAAATTACTGACTGACTGACTGAGTTTCTATTGAGACAAATTACTGACTGACACTGACTAACACACTGTGATATAGCTGAAATACTGACTGACTGACTGAGTTTAGTTTAACCACTAGGCTACCCCATCACCCGGAGTAAAGCATTAGTTTAAACAATTCAACGCTTTAACCACTAGGCTAAAAACATTTCTGAAATAGCTCTGAACTGTATATGGACAATTAAATGATTAGAAGACTCACTGTAGTGTGGTTCTGTAGACAGGAAGATGGTGAAGACGTCCTCTCGCTGACGACTGACTGATTTAGTTTAACCACTAGGCTACCCCCAAAGGAAAACACAGTGTACAGAAGTATGCTGTCCCTGATGTCACTACTGACTGACTGACTGAGTTTAGCTGCAACAAAATAGGATGAAGATCAGAAGTCATGTTTTATCAAAATGGAGAGACAAATTACTGACTGACTTTAACCACTAGGCTACCCCACCGCCCCGGAGAGACAAATTAAGAATGAATGAGCTTGATTTTATTTGGCTTTATGATCAGTTTTCCAGCAATATCAGACAGGGATATCATATCAACATATGGAATCGAAGTGAGTGAGTGAGTGAGTGAGTGAGTGAGTGAGTGAGTGAGCGTCCATAACAACACCTTGCTGAAGAACAAAGTCAGAAGAACATGAACCAGTTCTTCCCACTGATAACATTATTAAATTAAAAAGTGAAATTGAAAAAAGACTTTAATCATCCATGACAGTTTGAAGCAACATGGAAAAAAGAATAGAAATGGTTAAAAAAGTTGCTTCCCCAAGTGAGTGAGTGAGTGAGTGAATGAGTTGGGTTTTACGCTGCATTTAGCAATATTCCAGCATTATCACCGCAGAGAACACTAGAAATGAGCTTCACACATTGTACCCATGTTGGGAATCGAACCCGGGTGTTCAGGTGACGAGCGGCTGCTTCAACCACTAGGCTACCCCACTGCCCCTGTTATAAGGAATTAAACCCACACTCTTAATCTATTCTTGGATTGAACACATGGCATGGCAAATGGCCGTGCAGAGTTGCCTCCCCTGGTAATGCCAGAAATATTTGCTCCTGGGTGTGTAAATAATCAAGTGTGGAGCAGACAATCCAGTGATCAACAGCATCAGCATCGATCTACGACATCGGGATACGATGACATGTGTCAAGCAAGTCAGCGAGCCTGACCACCCGATCCCATTAGTGGCAGATGACATTCGGCAAACAATTTATCCTCTTTCACCCAGGGTTGCCCAGATTACGTTCATCTCATATCCCATAATAGACCGCCTATGTGGTGTAGTGGTTAGAGCGTCCACCCGGAGAGCGGAAGGTCGCGGGTTCGATCCCCGACCACATCATACCAAAAGACGTTCAAATATGGTACTTGTTGGTCCCTGCCTGATGCTCGGCATTTATGGGTACAACAAGGACTGGTCGGCTCGGAGTCGGTATAATGTGTCTGAGTGGGGTGTTCATGCTTCACTGCGGCATGGTATCTCAGTGGGCTAGCACTATAAAACCAGCTTCAGTCTCGGCTAGTACAAGCAGCCGGACATACACATACACACGCATGCACGTCGTCATATGAGCGAAATATTCTCAAGCACGACGTTAAACCCAATTTTACCTCACCTCACCTTATTAAACAATATATTTCTCCTAAGATAGGGGCAGTGGGGTAGACTAGTGGTTAAAGCGTTCGCTCGTCACGCCAAAGACCTGGGTTCGATTCCCGACATAGGTACAATGTGTGAAACCCATTTCTGGCGCACCCGCAGTGATATTGCTGGAATATTGCTAAAAGTGGCATAAAACTCGACTCACTCACTAACTCATTTTCTCCGTAAAGGGGAAGTCTCCTTAGATGTTCAGTCTGAGAGTCTCAGAGAAAAAGATCTGATTTTAATGCAATTGGAGGCATGTAATGAGCATATATTGTGATCTGTACCATGTGGTGATATTTGTGTAAAAGCGTTCTTACCATAACAATGACACCAAAGAACTGAGCATATGATTTGTGTTTCTCATTCACGGCTCCACAGTACCAGAATCGGTTTTAAGGTGAATCATCAATTTAGTCACAGAACTTGCACTTGAAACGAATTCCCATTTCTATGCTCTTACCTGATACCACAAGCCTCTTTCTGACACCTTGGTCAGGATTTCAAGGTCAACTCAGCATTGGGTGCGTCTTCAAATTACTTTTCTGTGCATTGATAACATTCCTAGCTTCTGTCTCCTCTAACAAAGCTGTCTGTTCGTGATTGTGAAGGTCAAGGTCACTTTTGCCGATAAGATGATTATCAATTTTAAGATTTCTTGAACCATTGATATTTGGGGATGCATGATTATCTCTCTTTCTTTGATGTGTCTGTTTTTAGATATATCATCGTCATCACGGCTCCGTCTCTGACACACAGTGTATGTCCTCTATAGACATGGCCGACAGCGGTCCGAAATGTAGACTGTCACGTGATCTATATATGTTATTGTGACTAGCTGACACAGAGACTTTGTCTGTCAGGGGTTTAACCTCATCAGCATCTTCTTCAGGATCAGATATTTCAACCACATCCTTCCTGAAAAAGAAACCACCACATTAACATTTGAGAAAAAGTCACAATGAATAGTCTCCACCTGAGAGTGAGTGAGTGAGTCTAATTTTACGCTGCACTCAGCAATATTCCAGCTATATGGCGGCGTTCTGTAATAATCCAGTCTGGACCAGACAATCCAGTGATCAACAGCATGAGCATCGATCTATGCAATTGGGATATGATGACATGGTCAACCAAGTCAGCGAGCCTGTTCACCCGTTCCCATTAGTTGCCTCTTACGACAAGCATGGGTTACTGAACAATTCTGACACGGATTTGAGAAGGAATGTTAATAAAAAGGTACAGTAAAGCCCTTTTTGGTCCACATGGTCTGCCTGACTGAAGACCCTGTTGAGATTCAAGCTTAAAATGGGTCTAAAGTTTTAGTAAGAATCCTGTAAATAGACTGAATGGTCAGAGCAGTGACAGGTCTCATAATATAAGTCACTGGATTGTCTGGTCTGGATTCCAGTAATTACAGTAGCTGTCATACAGATGTAATATTGCAGCATAACCAATCAACAAACAAACAAACAATTATTTAAGAACAAAACAGACTTTTCTCAAGCTTACTTACTTATTTCCAAGAAGTTGATAAAATTATCCTTTTTAACCCAGTTTTGTTAGGCATTTGTATTTCATAAAGTCAGAAATCTATAACTTGCAATTGTAAACAAAAACAAGCAGTGTTTTTAACACGTTGATTAAGACTTCATTCAAAAAGATATTCAAACTCAATGATGCCCAAGAGGAAAAGTGGTTTAACGATCTATTTCCAATATGCAATCCCAAAACGTTTGGTACAAAACAGTCGCAATATCAATACCTGCATCCTTTGTTTCATAGTTCTGGCATCTCATACCATAGATCTATGTATATCAAGACATATCTAAGTATATCTAAGTGCTTCAAATACAATTTCAAGTAATAACAGGTTTGACGCCATAAGACTGACAATGTGAGACAATTAAGAATGTGGAGGGAATTAGGACATTGTTATGTCTCGGGCTGCAATGATTCAGATTGATTCATCAAAAATCAAATCTGAATCGTTTCGATGTTTGATAACCATTATCATTATTTCGATTCGATGTTTGATAACCATTATCACTATTTAGATTCGATATATGAATATCTATTTAAATTATTTCTACACAGTGAGAATGTAATTTTGATTCCAACTTGAGCAGTTTCAAGCGCTGACATAATGCGAAACAGGATTGATTGAAGCCGGGGTAATTACCCAATGAGACTTGTTAGTAGACATCGCCATACTGATGATGGAGATCACTCGAAAAAAGCCGACTCTGAGAGTTAAATAAAATCTCATGTTTTTACTTGTATGAAGAATAGAATAAAAAATGATCGAATCAAGGGTCCAATATCAAAAATAAAAATCGAATAGAGGTCTGGGTGAGTCGTTGCAGCCCTACTTATGTCTTGTTTGTTCTGATACGACTTTCGGATGTGACTAAAGTTGCCTAACCTTACTGTCAATATATTCCAACTTTTTACTTACTTGATTTGAAGGGTTTCCTCAAACTTAAAAAGCACGACAAAGAAACCAATTGCACAGATGACAAGCACCGCGACGGAAGGCAGGCAGAAAGGGTACTGACTGAAGAACCCCTCGGGGTCAAACACACTGGGGTACTTCATGGCCGGACTCGCCAAATAGCCTGAAATATACAATATACATAGGATCATGAATTACAGTGAGGGCATGAGGTTAGTTTTACGCCGCTTTTAGCAATATTCAAGCAATATCATGGTGAGGGGACACCAGAAATGGGCATCACACTGTACCCATGTTGCGAATCGAACCTGGGTCTTCGGTATGACAAGCAAAAACTTTAACCACTCGGCTACCCGCACCGCCTTTAATGAATTAAATTAATTTAGATATTCTTGGAGGCTGTTATTCATGTCCAGGGGGCATCACACTTGATTGCTTTGAGGAACAGAATTTATGTACAGAATCCTTTTTCAAGCTAAGGATTTGAAACATTCTGGAGAGCAAGGTACTTCAAGGAAAGGCAACTCTAGTATGGCTGGAGGCGAATGTATATGTCTACAGGAGGAAGAGTGATAGCGCAGCCGATCCAACAAATACATAAATACTTCATGTGTTCAAAATTACAACAGGGGCCTCGGTCCACAGCAAATGTCAGTAAAATTTACAGTTTTCAAATTCAAGCCAAAATTACATCAGACACATCCATTATGAGGACATTCATAAAGAAGAACACATGCAAACCTTATGTAAGGAGAACACATGTAAACCGTATGTAAGGGGAACAGATGTTAACCGTATGTAAGGAGAACAGGTGTAAACCTTATGTAAGGGGAACACATGTAAACCTTATGTAAGGGGAACAGATGTAAACCTTATGTCAGGGGAACAGATGTAAACCTTATGTAAGGGGGACAGATGTAAACCTTATGTAAGGGGAACAGATGTAAACCTTATGCAAACCTTATGTAAGGGGAACAGATGTAAACTATGTAAGAGGAACACATGTAAAGAGGGGGAACACATGTAAACCTTATGTAAGGGGAACAGATGTAAACCTTATGTAAGAGGAACACATGTAAACCTTATGTAAGGGGAACACATGTAAACCTTATGTAAGGGGAACAGATGTAAACCTTATGTAAGGGGAACACATGTAAACCGTTATGTAAAAAGAACACATGTATGTAAGGGGAACACATGTAAACCTTATGTAATGTAAGGGAACACATGTAAACCTTATGTAAGGAGAACACATGTAAACCTTATGTAAGGGGAACAGATGTAAACCTGTATGTAAGGGGAACACATGTAAACCTTATGTAAGGGGAACAGATGTAAACCTTATGTAAGGGGAACAGATGTAAACCGTATGTAAGGGGAACACATGTAAACCTTATGTAAGGGGAACACATGTAAACCTTATGTAAGGGGAACACATGTAAACCTTATGTAAGGGGAACAGATGTAAACCTTATGTAAGGGGAACAGATGTAAACCGTATGTAAGGGGAACACATGTAAACCTTATGTAAGGGGAACACATGTAAACCTTATGTAAGGGGAACACATGTAAACCTTATGTAAGGGGAACACATGTAAACCTTATGTAAGGGGAACAGATGTAAACCGTATGTAAGGAGAACACATGTAAACCTTATGTAAGGAGAACACATGTAAACCTTATGTAAGAGGAACAGATGCAAACCTTATGTAAGGGGAACACATGTAAACCTTATGTAAGGGGAACACATGTAAACCTTATGTAAGGGGAACACATGTAAAGGGGAACAGATGTAAACTTATGTAGGGGAAACATGTAAAAGGGGAACACTTATGTAAAACTTATGTATGTAGGGGAACAGATGTAAACCTTATGTAAGGGGAACACATGTAAACCTTATGTAAGGGGAACACATGTAAACCTTATGTAAGGGGAACACATGTAAACCTTATGTAAGGGGAACACATGTAAGGGGAACACATAAACCGTATGTAAGGAGAACACATGTAAACCTTATGTAAGGGGAACACATGTAAACCATATGTAAGGGGAACACATGTAAACCATGTATGTAAGGGGAAAACATGTAAGGGGAACACATGTAAAAACCTTATTAAGGGGAACACATGTAAACCTTATGTAAGGGGAACACATGTAAACCTTATGTAAGGGGAACAGATGTAAACCGTATGTAAGGGGAACACATGTAAACCTTATGTAAGGGGAACAGATGTAAACCTGATGTAAGGGGAACAGATGTAAACCTTATGTAAGGGGAACACATGTAAACCTTATGTAAGGGGAACAGATATAAAACATTTATAAGGAGGACTATACACATAAGGAGGATGTGTAAAACATACAGAGGACATATGTAAAACTTATGTCAACAGAACATGTAAACATTATACATGTAAGTAGGACTTATGTACAGCAATACGTGTAAGGACATATCAAAACATTATACATACAAGGATGAGTGATTTTTAATGTGGGAAATATAAAACTCATCCCGATAATCGGCATTTGCTAATCTCTTGGCAAATATCAATTAATTATGACTTGGTTGATATTTCCCTCATTAAAAATCAGTCGTGATCAATCCTCTGTATAAATACAATCAGAAAATATGTAAAACATCAACTGTAACACAATAAGTGTCGGCAAGTACAATACTGTTCATGTCTTACTAATATTTCACCGACTGGCATTTCACACTGTCATTATGTAGTGCAAAATGGTTGGATCAGTTTTAACCAGACTATCAAAATACATAATGTTCTGAGACAAACTAGGTTTTGAGTTCAAACATAAAAACAATTGGTCAGACAAGTGCACATCTGTACCAGTTTTCAGACATTTTGGGGTGAGTGAGTGAGTGTGTTTAGGTTTACGCCGCACTCAGCAATATTCCAGCTATATGGCAGCGGTCTGTAAATAATCAAGTCTGGACCAGACAATCCAGTGATCAACGCAATTGGGATACGATGACATGTGTCAACCAAGTCAGCGGGCCTGACCACCCGATCCTGTTGGCCGCCTCTTACGACAAGCATGGGTTACTGAAGATCAATTCTAACCCTGATCTTCACAAGTCTCGGACATTTTAGGGGGAAGGTGCAGTGGCTGACACTGAGGGTATGGGTTCGAATCCCAGATGCGAAAAACAACTAAAATCGGTACTTAACTGAGAAAGTTTATCGATAATCACAAATGTATATGGAAAATTTGTTACCAAGGCAATGATTTTTTAACCGTTCATGACAAGAGTTTATCTGTTTACGTCACTGTGACACACTATTTTCATTTTTCATTTTTGTTTGAATTTTCAAATACATAAATATCAAGTAATGGCTACTGTTAAGGAAGCGATAGAGACAGTCCACTCATCTCCCTAAGGAGAAGCAGTTTACTGACTTTAAAACTCCAGTTTCCACTCTTCCCGAAATTGGTGTGAATTTTCGAGTGAGGTTTCAGCTAGATAACAAGTCTATGCACAGTACAAGTATATTGCATTACAAAATCAACATCCAGTTCATAAATGGCCATACAGATTTCAGTCGATTGCAGGATTTTCACATCACGATTACCATAAACTGTGCTCTGGGAAATATTTTTCAAAATCTGTTCATGTTTTCAATCAATTGGTTTGGTCTTATAGTCAGTTTACTGTCTTGCTTTGGGACGATTATCCAGTAAAATTTGTTTCAATAAAATGTTTACTTTGCTGTTGAGGAGAGGTAATAGAAACTTGGGATTCAGTTCATATCACCTGAATACTTCATACAGGCAACATGCTTTGGGGAAAAACACTCAGAATATTGAGACATTTGTTGCATGTGCAGAACACATAATGCAATAGTAGTGTAGTATTTACACTCACTGGAGCTATACGCGATAATCTCCAGGCTAAATGTTCCGATAAATCTTCACTAGTACCCTGGATGCATCTACGGCTTGGCCCAATAATTTTATTACCTTCTTTTGCTTTGTCCGCCTTCTCACAGCAGCCAATCATATACAGCCGTTACAGCCAACCTTGCCAGTGTGAACAAAGATAGTGACCACAGACGCTAAAGTTTTCTCCCCTGTGTGATTCAGACTTAGGGAAAATATCATGCATACAAATTGACAGGTCTCAGCTCTACAAAATACATATGCAAGAATTCCTTCTACCTCTTTCAGAGTGCCTCTGTAACAGTTGTGTTGCCAAGTTTAATCGTTTAGATAAAAGAAGCAAAAGTTATGATAGAAGCCTTGTGATTGGTACACTCAACTTCCCAGCGTAGACACCTGTTTGGATAAAAAGCCAGCAAAGGGATATGATAAAATTACCGTGGATGCATCCAGGGTACTAGTGGAGATCTATCAGAACGTATGGCTTGGAGATTATCGAGGATGATTGGAGCAAGATGAACTTTACTTTTCGTTCTTGTTCACCAATATTCGTGGTACTTCTGGATCTTACATGAACTTGAAAATTTTAATATAAATTGTATATTTATATACTTATCCTATCTCACGATTTGCACTTCTCTCTCTTGCTTCGACGCTGAGTGGAACGAATGAGAACTTTTCCTGTAGGCCTCTCTTGTCCATACACCCGTGTTCCCCACCCGTGTTCCCCAGGACAGGTCGCTAGTCCCAGGCTAAGCGTGCAGCACGTTCCCCTACAGGAAAAGTTCTCATTCGTTCCACTCAGCGTCGAAGCAAGAGAGAGAAGTGCAAATCGTGAGATAGGATAAGTTTAAAAATTAACATTTGTGGTCCTAATTCAACTAAAGTGTGTACTTGCAACTAAACACAGCTTTTCATATTATCGGAAAACTTTATAGATAACAACATCAACGTCGTGAATGTGAGATTTTGATACTTGCAGAACTTGACAACGGTACAAGAATCTGTATCAAAGCGTCACATTCACAAAATAGAAGATGTTGCTATCTTTAAAGTTTGTCAATATTGTATTGTCGATACATAATTTAGCACAGTTACCCTTCTATTTCATTAAAGAAAAAAAAACACTTGTTTTTTGTACTCTTTTAATCATTACATATGAGGTGAGGTGAAATTGGGTTTAACGTCGTGCTTGGGAATATTTCGCTAATATGACGACGTGCATGAATGTGTATGTGCGGCTTCTTGTACTAGCCCAGACTTAAGCTGGTTTTATAGTGCTAGCCCACTGAGATACCATGCTGCAGTGAAGCATGAACATCCCACTCAGACACATTATACTGACTCCGAGCCGACCAGTCCTTGTTGGACCCATTAATGCCGAGCACCAGACAGAGACCAACAAGTACCATATTTTAATGTCTTTTGGTATGACGCGGTCATGGATCGAACCCGCGACTTTCCGCTCTCCGGGCGGACGCTCTATTCACTACACCACAGAGGCGGTCCATTACATATGAAAAATTTGTGGTTAGTCTTATGCAGAACACCAATTTCATTCTTAAAAAACTTGTGGTTAATTAATACCGAGAGATCAAAAGTTGCCAAAAAGTCGCCTGCTTCACTCTTGCTCGCCAACAAAACCACAGACAGGTTACGTAACTCTTTCGCCAGAGCACTGCAGTGAAGTCATATGAGGAAGGATTTTCAGTTAGTTGTATATAAAGTGTGCAGCAAGCTCGTCATTTTGATGATTTCTCGACATCAACGAAGAGATGCCGAATCGTTGCGTTGTCGTCAATTGCTCCTAGGGGTCGGGCGATGGTGTCACCATGCACAGAATTCCACAGGACCCCAAAGTTCGTGCTAAATTGGTTATGTTTGTGAGTGAGAAGCGAGCGTTGTTGAAGCCTGAAACGATATCTTACTTGTGTTCAGATCGCTTCACGGAATGTGACCCATAATAACTATCACTTAATCAATGTGATATTACAAATTACACATTACAAAAAACACACTCTCATAACAATTTTCATCCGTGGACGTATCAGTTTCACCTATCTGTGAGATAAGCATGTTAATTAATCGACAAGATCAACCTAATGTCCTCAGTGTGTTAAACTTGTACAACAGCTGTCATATTTCTCCTGAAATCTATACTCTTTTTTGAATAATCTAATAAATTCATCATATTTGGAGTGTTTTAATGTCTGTTGCATGTTTAGCACTTAATAATATACAAGTATAGACTGGTGACTGGTCCATAAAAACAGGTATTGACCAAATTCGCCAGTCTGTAATTGTTTTATTATGTAATTACCGAAAAAACAGCTTCTAAAATCCAAAACATGTCCATTTATTCAAGAAAAGCAATTTTATTTTCACTACACACCAATAACGTTATGTCAACAATACTGTGACATGTAAACAATAGAATGATGTCATAGCTTGACGTGAATGACGTCATAGCTTGACGTCATAGTAACTCAGGTCAATATGACTTTTGGTCGGACCTGGGTTGTAGTCAATATGCTTTTCTGTTGACAGTCACATGACCGCCTCTAGACCAATCAGGTAGCCGAAAAAATATGCTTGCATAATAATGATAATCATCATCATAATACTGAAAATTTATATAGCGCTAAATCCAACCACTAGGTGAGTGCTCAAAGCGCTACAAAATAATAATGTTTGAGTAGAGTTAATAGTGCAGTGAAAAGAGATACGTTTGAAGATGTGATTTGAATGCAGCAACAAAGATGGGGACAATTTTAAGGCCAATCTTCCTTTGTTTACAATATTGTTTGTGTTTCAATAAATGGGTAGACAACTGCCTCTGGATGGTGGATGGTGTAAATCCTATGAGGCTTTCATGCAGGAAGCAGAAATAACACAAGACAAATACTTATGATGCTGAGATTTTTTGTCAAACTTATACAATGAGTTTTTGGTTTCATCAAAACTAGTAGAGTTTGCAAAGTACTTATTTTTAAATCTGAGATAATTGTGTCTTAATCTGACCGAATTAAATAAATATTGATAAGATTGTTGTAATATGTCAAAATATATATACACATACGTTAACTCATATCTCTGTCAAGAACCATTACACTGTTATTCAGGGGCTACACAACTAAAGGGAGGTAACTCTAACAGGACTAATGCTCTTACCTCCACAGGTAGGTCCCAGAATCAGGCCTGTTCCCCAGGCCAGAGCAATGGCCGACATGCCAATAGCCTGGTTTGTGTTGTCTGAGACCTCATACAAGACAGTCTTCGCCGTGCCCACAGTGCCTGTAGTCAGTATTAGAATAATTCAACATGACTGAGATGAAGAATATGTCAACATTCGAAATTAAATGTAAATTGTGAAATTACTGGATCATAAGGCTGGAAGAATTGATCCACAAACATTGGACATTATTAGCATTGGGAATTGGTTGAAATCTCAAAATTGATGATTGGTTCATCATAGAAAAATATTGGGTAGCGTCATTATTCAGACTTTCCTATCTAGGTTGTTATTCCAGATAGTATAATGTGGTTCTATGGGTTGTTTTTTCTTTTTTTTAGAAACTGCAAATTCCATTTGCAAACTTCACATCCAATGCAAAATGATGCAACTTGCTACTTTAAAGTGATGACTAAGATGGAATGAACGTAAACCAACTGAGTCATTTAGAAATGTTGAGTCATGACTTTTCAGTAAGTGAAGTGAGTTTTCTAAGAATTAAACACATTTTCAGGCCCTGACAACTTTTTAGATATGTTCCATCGTCAAGTGTTTCAACAACAAAAACAGTAGTTCCAAAATCGTTTGTGTCCGCTTAGGAGAAAATATGATCAATTCCTTTGTCGTTTGGTCGCTGGGACCAGGCTTCGATTATTTCAATTAATGAGAACACTACTAAAAAATTAGCATTAAAAATTGTAAATAATGGAGTGTGGATTGGAGAACAAAGCAACTTGGTTACACATTGTGTCCTTCCAATCCTCAGTTATATAACAAGCATGAATGGGAATGAAGACCATCCAATGGTCAGATGGATCATAATGAATATTTTGTATTTAATAGGCAACATTACATCAATTTATACTCTAGGTAGATCAGGGTTAGAACTGGTTCTCACAACAAATAAGAACAGGATTGGGTGGTCAGGCTCTTGGACATGGCCATCTTATCCCTATTATGTAGATAGATAATGATCACTGGATTGTCTGGTCCTGTAGTTAGTCATGTGATATACTGTATGAAACCAATAACAAAACTATTGCCATGGTTATGCAACAGTCGCTATTGTTCGTATTCCTTCTCACTCTTATATGTCCAAGTAAACAATAATCTTCAGACAACTTTAGTGTATTGGTTGAGGTTTTGTTTTTTGGTTGTTTAATGCCATACTCAGCTATATTCCAATTGAGAAATAAACTGTTAATAATTGAGTCTCCATCAGAAAATCCAGCGGTCAACATCATGAGCATCAATCTATGCAGTTAGGATACGATGACTTGTGTCAACCACGTCAGCGAGCCTGACCACTTGATCAAGCTAGTCGCCTCTGACAAAAAAGCATGGGTAGCTGAAGACCAGTTCTAACCTGGATCTTTACAGGTGTATGGGTTGAGGGGCCATGAACTCAGCCAAGCCTTTATCTTATCCCTGACTCACCATTGCATAGGCCTGACATGAAGCGGAGGAACATGGCCATCGGCAGGTTGACAGAGAACCCAAATAACAAGGAAAATATGCCATTTCCTGCAATCGTCAGCAACAACACCACTTTCCTCCCCTTGACGTCCGACAACCAGCCCCAGAAGAAGCTGCAAATAGATGAATTTCCATTTTACAAGTCGCTTATGTTTGCATTCCTTCTGAAATGGTCAACAATAGATAATGCTTATATCAACTTCAGTGTATGCATGATTTAATTGTCTTATATGTGTATCTAAAGCAGTTAGGTCATTTCTTTTCAAAATATTTTGAATCATTTAGTTCATATATTTTCAAATTATTGGAAGGAATGGTTTTCCATGTTGTATAAGGAGTTCACCTTGCTATGTAGAGTTACCTCCCTTACGTGAGCCAGAGACTTATGATTATTGATTCAATCCTGGTTCATCCTGATAAAGTTTTCAATTTTATATAAGATATTCTACAATTTTGCGTCATATGAAGCAGGCTGTATTGTTTATGCTTGACACCTAACATGGAATGAAGCAGGTTGTGCTTGATACATGAAGAAGCATTGATAACAGAGACTGCCTAATACTAGAGCTGGTATTGGCATACAACTTGCAAAACGATTCATCACGATACTAAAATGTTCGTCACGACGATATATTGCCAAAGTATTGTGTACTGAAGCTGCGATACGATACGAATCCCGATATAAGGGTGGCGATATGATACATATCACGATACTAACATTGTAAATTCTAACACCAACTATAAAACACTTTAAGATCAAAACAAAACTATTTCGTCAAATTCCGACAGCGTTTTTCAATGTTCACTCGGAAACGAGATAATTAAAGTTTTACACGGACTTTGTGAATGTTGATAACATGTGAGTGCTCTGTCTGACACAGTTCTTGATGCAAGGATATCCGAGAAAACGTTTACCTTTGAAGGCAAAATAAGTCAGCATATATTTTAATCATCCGACAAAAGTAAGTCTGTTTTCTTGACAGATTTCGAGATTCGGCAATATACAAATGTATCGTGGCCGATTTAAAGTATCGTATCGGGATATACGACAATGTAAAGCTTTGTATCGATTTCACTGTATCGGCGGCGAATTGATCGATGCATCGATGCGTATCGATGACTCGTCACACCACTACTTAATACTGTGACAATCAGGTGTCGATTATGAGTAACAAGAGCATGTTTTATACATTGTCAGGTATCAAGCACAAATAACAGTCTGCTTCAAAATGTATTCATCTATCATTGCATTAAAAAGTCCCACCATCACCCACTTTGGGGAAACATTTACTTTCTTAGCCAGCCTCATTTTCGACTAGAGATGTAATGATACAGAAATATTAGGACATGACTCTACACGACACGACACGACACAACATGACTTGACACAACACGACTCTACATGACACAATAGGCAGGGGTGAGGTGAGGTGAAATTGGGTTTTACGTCGTGCTTGAGAATATTTCGCTCATATGACGACGTGCATGCGTATGTGTATGTGCGGCTGCTTGTACTAGCCCAGACTGAAGCTGGTTTTATAGTGCTAGCCCACTGAGATACCATGCTGCAGTGAAGCATGAATACCCCACTCAGACACATTATACTGACTCCGAGCCGACCAGTCCTTGTTGTACCTATTAATGCCGAGCGCCAGGCAGGGACCAACAAGTACCATATTTTAACGTCTTTTGGTATGACGCGGTCGGGGATCGAACCCGCGACCTTCCGCTCTACGGGCGGACGCTCTAACCACTACACCACGGAGGCGGTCCAATAGGCAGGGAGAAGAATGTTGTTGAAACAACAACAACTGAAAGTCATTCTTGGGTCTGGGACCTTTATGATTCATGCATAAATTTACACAAAAATTACCCTCGATGTAACAAAATCCATGGAGGGTCTGCAGGTTGGCCTTATCCCTGAATGTGATACCTGACCACCATCAGCTGTCAGTCTGCTGACATAGCGGGATACTGAAACATCCACATGTGTTACCATCAAGTTTACCTACCTCCCACATGCTCTTCCAGCAAACACTGACGATGCAATTAGTCCCACATAATATCCCTTCGCCTCCTCCGAGTAGCCCAGCCACTGAAACAAAAATAATCCTTCAAACAAAGGCAGAAAATTGTCCATATAACAACAAATACAAAAGCGTCCTTCAAACAAAGGCAGAAAATTGTCCATATAACAACAAATGCAAAAACGTCCTTGAAACAAAGGCTGAAAATTGTCCATGAATCAACAAATGCAAAAACATCCTTGAAACAAAGGTAGAAAATTGTCCATGAATCAACAAATACAAAAACATCCTTGAAACAAAGGTAGAAAATTATCCATGAATCAACAAATACAAAAACATCCTTGACACAAAGGTAGAAAATTATCCATGAATCAACAAATACAAAAACATCCTTGAAACAAAGGCTGAAAATTGTCCATGAATCAACAAATGCAAAAACATCCTTGAAACAAAGGTAGAAAATTGTCCATGAATCAACAAATACAAAAACATCCTTGACACAAAGGTAGAAAATTATCCATGAATCAACAAATACAAAAACGTCCATGAAACAAAGGTAGAAAATTGTCCATGAATCAACAAATACAAAAACGTCCTTGAACTAAAGGTAGAAAATTGTCCATGAATCAACAAATGCAAAAAACACCTTGAAACAAAGGCAGAAAATTGTCCATGAATCAACAAATACAAAAAACACCTTGAAACAAAGGCAGAAAATTGTCCATGAATCAACAAATGCAAAAACATCCTTAAAACAAAGGAAACCTAGGACTCTGAAGGAGAGAATACTTTTCTCACTTTGTTTACAGATTAAACTGAACCTCAAATGATGAAACGATAATCCTAACAAACCTATTTTGAAAGATTTCCATTTAGCTATAATTATTCTAATGTCAGATCTTATTGCTCTGCTTCCAAGAGAGGGGTCAAATAACAAGTGAAGAAATATTGCTAAAAGAGGGGCGTTGGGGTAGCCTAGTGGTCCCGGGTTCGATTCCCCACATGGGTACAATATGTAAAGCCCACTTCTGGTGTCCCCCGCCATGATACTGCTGGAATATTGCTAAAAGCGGTGTAAAACCAAACTCACTCACTCAATTCTGAATGAGTGCCACAGCATTGCAGCTCACCATGATATGTACTCAACAGGTAAAATAGACACCCGTAACAAAGGTTCTGTTTGGACTGTCTCTTACATACATATATTTCCTGTACAGACACTGGGAACAATAAACTAACACCATAATACCTACAATTTGCACAAATTATGCATCTTCACAAGACGATTAAACATCCTAATCTTCACATTTCTCAGTCTGCCAGTCTTTGATGTAAAAATGCTTACAGGGGAAAAAAGTTGTTTTGAGAGAATTCAAAAGTCTCAAAACACATAAGTCAAACCAAGGTCTACATTTATCTGTCTTAAAAATACAATGTCCTCAGCCATGGAGAGTGACTCATTTCATTTTTCTCAGAAAATCCAGAAAAGTGTGGGTTCTGAATCTCAAGTTAATTTATCAGTTCAGTTAATAAAGTCATTGTTGAAATGACATCACATAAAACTGTTTATGAAATAAATCAAAGATGACATCATCTTCAATTGCTAGCAATAACTGGTTCCTAAAGCATTTATAAATCATACCTATGAATCTTTGTATTTGTGGTGGCTGATAATACTGCCACCAATTTGCATATTGCGAGATTAAATCTTAATGTAGTGCCACAATAGTGTTGAACTGATGATCAAAATTTAAGATTGGTAATCATTAAATATAGGGAATTTCGTCATCATCCAACCTATGTAGACTGAATTCTGTGAAGTATCTAACAAGCTGCTGCTGATGACAATAGTTTGAGTGAGTGAGTGAAGGAGTTGGGTTTTATGCTGCTTATGGCAATATTCCAGCAATATTATGGTGGGTGGGAGGGACCACCAAAAATGGCCTTCACACATTGTACCCATGTGGAGAATTGAACCCAGGTCTTCAGGGTGAGGAGTGAACACTTTAACCACTAGACTACACCACCGCTCTAACAATAGTTTGAATCCTGGCTAGTATTTTTTATCAGTGAAGAGTGAGTGGTTATGGTTTCACGCCGCTTTTAGCAATGTTCTAACAACATCACGGCGGGGGACACCAGAAATGGGCTTCACACATTGTACCCATGTGGGGAATCAAACCAGGTCTTCAGCATGATCAGTGAGCGCGAACGCTTTAACCACTAGGCTACCCCTCCGCCCCATCAGTGTACGGATGTAAGCTGAGGTCATAAGATATTAATTTTCTTCCAACTGGCTGTGTGTACATAGTGAAAAATACTGGGCAAAGAACAGACCACTGTGGCACTCCAAATGTCAGTTCGCATCAATCTGATCTCACATTATCAATATTGACTGACTAGTGACGTCCTGTGAGATATGATATGAACCATGATACAGTCTCAGCCTACAGCCTAACTTCTTCAAGAGCTACAGGAACCAAGAACCATCGATGGCTTCTTCAACCGACATAATCAGTGCTTCATCCATAGCTAGAGGAACCAAGAACCAACAAGTGTTTGCCACTGATATGGCAATGTCCCCAGCCGCTAAAGAATGGAATATCTATATTTACTACTTTTAATTTTTTGGTCACATAAAAGAAGCTTGAAATAACTGGGGTCTGCGTAATCCCCCTGTGTAGACTGTCACCAAATTTGAAGACATTGGGTACAACAGTCCATGAGATGTCGCATTAGCAAGAGTTTGAAAAGTGTTCAAAGTGTCATGGTGACCTTGAAGATAGGTCAAGGTCACCCAAATCGACTGGTGTCTGCGAATTCCCCTAATGTAGGCTGTCACCAAATTTGAAGACATTGGGTACAACAGTCCATGAGATGTCGCATTTACAAGAGTTTGAAAAGTGTTTAAAGTGCCATGGTGACCTTGAAAATAAGGTCAAGGTCACCAAAATAGAGGAACCAAGAACAAGTGATGGGTTGTTCAATAGCGACATAATCAGTGCTTCTTCAAGAGGGAAAGGAACCAAGAACAAGAAATAGGTTGTTAAATAAAGACATTATCAGTGCTTCTTCCAGAGGGAAAGGAACCAAGAACAAGAAATGGGTTGTTAAATAAAGACATTATCAGTGCTTCTTCAAGAGGGAAAGGAACCAAGAACAAGAAATAGGTTGTTAAATAAAGACATTATCAGTGCTTCTTCAAGAGGGAAAGGAACCAAGAACAAGAAATGGGTTGTTAAATAAAGACATTATCAGTGCTTCTTCAAGAGGAAAGGAACCAAGAACAGACATTATCAGTGCTTCTTCAAGAGGGAAAGGAACCAAGAACAAGAAATGGGTTGTTAAATAAAGACATTATCAGTGCTTCTTCCAGAGGGAAAGGAACCAAGAACAAGAAAAGGTTGAACATTATCAAGAACAAAAAATAGGTTGTTAAATAAAGACATTATCAGTGCTTCTTCCAGAGGGAAAGGAACCAAGAACAAGAAATAGGTTGTTAAATAAAGACATTATCAGTGCTTCTTCCAGAGGGAAAGGAACCAAGAACAAGAAATGGGTTGTTAAATAAAGACATTATCAGTGCTTCTTCAAGAGGGAAAAATGAACCAAGAACAAGAAATGGGTTGTTAAATAAAGACATTATCAGTGCTTCTTCCAGAGGGAAAGGAACCAAGAACAAGAAATGGGTTGTTCAATAGCGACATTATCAGTGCTTCTTCCATAGATAGAGGAACCAAAAACAAGTGATGGGCTGTTCAATAGAGACATTATCAGTGCGTCTTCAAGAGCTAAATAAACCAAGAACCAAGACCCAGTGATTGGTATTTCAGGGTTAAACTTTGAAGAATTTCATTCTGAGTCACCAACTGAATTACTATTAAAGAAAGGGTTGGCAAGAGAACACTATGATACTGTTTAAGCATACATGCTAGACAAGGCACAAGACAATATATACGGTGAGATTCTTTGCTAAAAGATTTCCAACATGTCAACTTAGGTGGAATCAGAGCATGTCAAGTGAGTTGCTGGCTTATGTGTATTTAACTTTGACTGTATGAGCTTTCAGGAACAATGGCTGCAATTAATACCAATGCAGAAAACCCATCTGTGTATCTTCCAAGCATGTTTAATGAAGAAGACGAACAAAATAAGAAAACAGATGAAAATGATACCAAATATATGAGAAACAGTTGGAGAGATATGAACAACAGCTGTTATCAGCGTAAATACTAATGACAGGACAGACAAAGATACTCTCATCGTATGTTAGGCCAGAGCGACTTTGTGGAGTAGTGGTGGGTCTCGGCCAGATGTCTGCATCGCAGTTTAATCCTTCATTACAATACCACGGTCTATTACATGCATTTATTTGGTAATTTACGTCATCTCAACCAGCAAGACAAAAATATGCATGATTTCATTAACACAATACAACAACATGTTGTGGTATGCAGACATTTGCAATTCAAATCATGACATAACATACACCTCGTGTGTGGAATAATTTTATTTTCTTTCTTTGTTGTTTAAACCTGCACTCAGAAATATACTGTATAATCTCACTATGCAGAATCGATCATGGAAATGATCAAGTATAAGCCACTTGTGAAAACCCAGATATCAAAACTGCACACATTATAGGGTTCACTCGAAACTGAAACATTCTTAACAATTTTAAGAGAAATGGTTTGTGTTAGGAATAGGATCAAAGACTCCAAATGTTGCAATTTTAGGCAAATGCAGTCATTACGTAGATGCATATGATGCATGTTTGAGGCAGTGGTCTAAGTAAGTATTATGCCACAGATATCCTAAACAGTGTTATGATGTTAGACAGAGTTGGTAGGAAAACATGGGATACTTATATAACGAATGTCTTATGTTCATTTGGCTCTGGGTGAGTGAGTGAGTTTAGTTTTTACGCCGCTTTTAGCAATATTCCGGCAATATCACGGCGTGGGACACCAGAAATGGGCTTCACACATTGTGCGCATGTGGGAAATCGAACCTGGGCCTTCGGCGTGACGAGCGAACGCCTTAACCACTAGGCTACCCCACCGCCCTTCATTTGGCTCTGGAGTCATATTGGATCTCAAGGCACTGGTTCAAAGTATTGTTTTATAAATGAATTCTAGTTCAAGTAAAAGACTTGAGTATCAAAATGTGGATTTATGATGTTTCGTGTTTTTAAAAATTAAATTTATATTTTCTGTGTAAGAAATCTGTAACATTTGAACAGAACTTGTTGCAAGTGGTACCAAAGGAAAACTGGGAGTTAAACCCCGAACACCAAGCAGGTTAACCAAAAGTAAAATCTTTTGACGTCTTTCAGTTTGACATGGCCATGGAATGAAACCGCAGACTCCTCAATGAGATAATAATAATGGCCATATATAAAGCGCCTGTTTCCACACACTTGTGCATGCTCAAAGCACTAACACATTATCACCCCGGATAACCCAAGCTGCCTGTGAGGCGCTAGAAGGTTAATAGTCACATGACTTGTCCCACCAGGTACCCATTTTCTGCTGGTTGAACAGAGGCAATTTTGAACAAACTCACTTGCCTAAGGTGAGACCACATGTATCACATGTGCTTCGTTGTGGGGCAGGACTGAAGGCCTAGAAACTCTCAACATGCCAAACACGGTCTCCCATCCAAGGAGTCTCCATGCCCAACGTTGCTTAACTGCAACTGATTATGACCTGAGCTCTACGCACAGGACCACAAACCACAACGTCGTTTGGTTTGACATAACCATGGAATCAAACCACTGACTGGACAGTGATGGTTCCTGACAGGGTGTCACTGTGTATTGGGTGTCACTGTGTATTGTTGCATGACCTTACCTTGACCATGTCCGGGAGGAAGGGGAACAGGAAGGTCAAGGTGAACGAACTTGATATCTGAAAAGAAGCAAAACTGACATCAATAAAACAAAAAGTCAATCACTAACATGAGACACAAAAGCAGGATGATACTTCCTCGGAAATTAATATATTTTGGACCTGTGCAGATCTGGGTTAGAATTGGTCTTTAGTAACAATGCTTGTCGTAAGAGGCGACTAACGGGATCAGGTGGGCAGGCTCGCTGACTTGGTTGACACGTGTCATCGTATCCCAATTGTGTAGATCTATGCTCATGCTGTTGATCATTGGATTGTTTGTCCCAGACTCGATTATTTACAGACCGTCGCCATATAGATGGAATATTGCATGCCCAAAAGCTATGATCACTGAAAACACTTTCAAAGTGACCAGAGTCGAAGTACCTGAGTCTAAAATGCTATAATTCGTTGTGCAGAGTTGTGTCCCCTTATCCTATATTTTGAATGAATTAGTTCATTCATTTTCAAATTATCGGAGGGCATTAAATCTGTCTTTATTAATCCTAATTGAATAACAGACAAGTGACACCTTCAACTCAATTATCCCCATTAAATTAGTTTACATTACCGCATCCCTTTGATTCATTCCGCACCTTGTGTAAAGGTGTGGAAACAACCTCAGTTCAGACGGATACTTGCCAATGAAAGGTAGGTGAATATCGAGTCTCTTTACAAATACCGAGTTAAAAGGGTAAATTTGGTCGTTGGGACTATGAAATTATATCGAGATATCCGAAATATCCACACATCTGTATCGAGTTAAAAGAGCTTGAATAATGATAAATTAGGAAAGATTATGCCGGGACCGAGATATCGAGTTATCAGAGTTCGACACAATGGTGCTCGACTGTACTTTGGCAAGTCTAAATTTCTTCAGATTCAGGCTGAAAACAATAACATTATACTGGCTTCTCTCTATCATAGACATAAAGGCAGTGATAAAAACTTTGAGTTTTACAGATTCCAATACATACCAAAGCTACAAACATCAGCGTTAAGTTCTTGTAGTTAGGTCGTGTGGTCTCTTTGTTTAGCTTGAACCTGGAGGATAATCCTTTGCAGCAGTTCCCTTGACTAAGTTCCCGACTAGGTTCTGCACTCGTCACCTCACTCTCTAGTTGATGGTCAGTAGTGTCATTCCGAATGACTGCCCCCTCCGCCACTGTGTCCACACCTTCCTGCTGCATGGCTGGAATAAACATGGATGTTTAGAGCTCAACATTCTAAACATGCAAAATATTGCGCACTATGCTGGTCGTAAGAGGCGACTAAGGGACCGTGCATAATTTATGTCTAGGGGTGATGATGAATTGATGGAGAAGCATGTACAATGTGAATGACCCCCCTAAATATATGGACAAAGTAAGTGACCCCCTGCATGTCATGTACAAAATCAATGACCCCCCTCCCTTCCCATAATTTTTTAGCATATTTTAAAAATATTTTTATGTACAAAATTGATGACAACACCCCCACCCCACGACCAAAGCGGGTGACCCCCCCCTTAAAATCATCATCACCTCCCTAGCCATAAATTATGAACGGTCCCTAACAAAATCTGGTGGTGAGGCTCGCTGACTTGGTTGATGCTTGTCATTGTATCCCAGTTGCATAGATCAAAGCTCATGGTGTCAATCACTCGATTTTCTGGTCCAGAGTCGATTATTTACAGTCCACTGTTATCAGTAGAGGATGAAATGTGTATACGAGACGGTCCCCCGTTACGCGTACAAGTGACTACCTGAGAGGGGGTCACTCATTTGCGTGACTGCCTGATCAATGGTTATGGCTGAAATCTTGCTGAGTGCGGAGTTAAACGACGGAGAAAGAAACACCACAGTAGTTGGCCATATGCTGTTAGTTTGTTTTTGGGTGTAAGACTTTACTCAGAAATATTCCAGCTATATGATGGCTGTCTGGAAATATACAGGCCTGAACCAGACAATCCTGTGACTGACATCCTGTGTAAATGCCACTTAAGGAAGACATCATGGGGATTGATAATGTAATCAGGATATGATGACAAAAATCAACCAGATTAGCTAGCATGACCATCAAAATAGTAAATCAAACTTTCACTGTTTACATACAAAACAATTCATCATTGTGTCGTAAGAGTGAGTGAGTTTAGTTTTCGCCGCTTTTTAGCAATATTCCAGCAATATCATGGTGAGGTACACCTGAAATGGGTTTCACACATTGTACGTATGTGGGGAATGAAACCCCGGATCTTCGGCGTAACAAGCAAACACTTTAACCACTTGGCTACCCCACCGCACCTTTGTGTCATACGAATAACAGTAACTTGTTTTATAATTGAACAATATATTTAAGAAAACTAAAACTTGTCATGGTGGGCATATCTGAAAAATGTTCTTCTAAAATATATGAACACAGAATTTTAAAATAATATCACAAACAATGGTTCTCTCAACTTCACACTATAGCAAATTCCTATCACCAAAGCATAACTTATTTGATTTAGTGATGATATGTGACACCACCTGTTACTGTGTGTTAGGTCTCAGATTCCTGAAACCATAGGAAATTATCATAAACCATAAGTGAGTGAGTGAGTTAATATTTAATGTCACATCGGCAATATCGCAGCCATATTGTAAAAAACCTGTCAACGAAGGACAGTAAAACAACTAGAATATCACAATTACAACTAAAACTAGTGTGGAGAGTTAAAACTGATAGCACTATTTGGACAATACAATATAAAAACAGGCTATAGATCACCATACTAGGGACCATGGGGACTCACAGTACCTTTGCTACCTGCATGGACCCTAGCTGGATTTACACCACCCCTTCAGCTGTTGGCGATTGTAAGAAATGTTAGCCAAAATTAAAATGACAAGAATGCTACGATTAAATATCCTGGCAAGTTCAAATTGACTTTGAACATTTTGGGACTTACATACCCTCTCAGGAGGACAATAATTTTACACTACTTCAACCCCCCTTTGAGGGAACAGCCACTAACAATCTCAGTTACTAATCTAAACTACCAATAATAAAATATGTATCTATTTACAAATCAGTTAACAAGTCTAATATAAAATCATAAAAATATATAAACAGGTATGTATACTATTCACACTTTGCTAAGGATCAAATCATGGATTCAACAGAAAACTATGATGTGGGGTCAAATTTGGTTTAAATATCTAAGTTTATTGTAAGCATGGATCCTAGGTTTCAGTATGTCATTGCATCTTGTGGATCCCATACCTGCTATTGACAGGTGTTGTGTACTCGCCAATGACTCGTTCCATGATTTGCAAAATGGTTTATTGGGGCCATGAAACCATTTTTGTGGTTACTCATGTATCAAGTGTATAAGGTTAGATAAAAGTGAGTGTTTGCCTAAGGAGGGGCTTCCATATAATTATTTATCTAGTTGTAAATGAATACAATTTCAAATTGTAAATCTACATTTAAGTAACGTTTAATTTTTGTGATCCTTAGCAAAGTGTGAGTAGTATAATACCCAAGTACCAGTACCTGTACCACAGTAACAACTATTAAAAAGGAGAAAGGTTCATCCTTTGTGAGTACAACTGACATTATGACTGATAACAAAAATGTATTCCACGTAGTGTTCAAATACTTTCAACACCTTCCTGTGATGTGAATTACTATTTTCGCATAAATCTATATTTAAATGCAACCTCATTTGAATGGGCCCTCAATATAGTTAATCAAATCAGACGACAAAAATTAATAACTTTCAATGGAAAAAGACATATATGACGAGCGTGATTCCATCATGTTAAAACCCGGTGAGATGGGACACAAAGGTCAGTGGGTAGAAACCTGATGACATCAACACTTATTGTAATCATGTGATTTGATTGTATATCTATTTATAGCATTGCATCACTTCAATCCAATTTCAAAACAAAGCTATGGTGGCAGATGGTACCACCATGTTCAGCATAATCATCATCATAATGATCTGATGATATAGTAGTCTGTCATACAGACCCTGAAGCAAACATATCCAAGAAAGCCCATGCAAGTCTAGATTATATGGCAAGTCAAATGAAGAAAGTCTCAGGGTTCCCTTTCATTATATTTTATTTTATTTTACTATGAACTTATTTTCTGTAAAATATTCATTTCAGAGACTAGACATTAGTCTAATGATATAGTGGACAAGAAAGGATACTGTGTCATTGAAATAGACACAGCATTCATCACCAGTTAGACTAACGCTTAGTCTCTGAATATATATAATTTTCATAGTAACAAACAAGCCCATTTAAATTGGTAAAGTCTGACTTAATCGTGAAGGTTATTTATTCTGTCTGGTCTACATGGTAAAGTCAGACTTAATCGTGAAGGTTATTTATTCTGTCTGGTCTACATGGTAAAGTCTGACTTAATCGTGAAGGTTATTTATTCTGTCTGGTCTACATGGTAAAGTCAGACTTAATCGTGAAGGTTATTTATTCTGTCTGGTCTACATGGTAAAGTCTGACTTAATCGTGAAGGTTATTTATTCTGTCTGGTCTACATGGTAAAGTCAGACTTAATCGTGAAGGTTATTTATTCTGTCAGGTCTACATGGTAAAGTCAGACTTAATCGTGAAGGTTATTTATTCTGTCAGGTCTACATGGTAAAGTCTGACTTAATCGTGAAGGTTATTTATTCTGTCTGGTCTACAGGGTAAAGTCTGACTTAATCGTGAAGGTTATTTATTCTGTCTGGTCTACATGGTAAAGTCAGACTTAATCGTGAAGGTTATTTATTCTGTCTGGTCTACAGGGTAAAGTCTGACTTAATCATGAAGGTTATTTATTCTGTCAGGTCTACATGGTTAAGTCAGGCTTAATCGTGAAGGTTAATTATTCTGTCTGGTCTACAGGGTAAAGTCAGACTTAATCGTGAAGGTTATTTATTCTGTCTGGTCTACAGGGTAAAGTCAGACTTAATCGTGAAGGTTATTTATTCTGTCTGGTCTACAGGGTAAAGTCTGACTTAATCGCGAAGGTTATTTATTCTGTCTGGTCTACATGGTAAAGTCAGACTTAATCATGAAGGTTATTTATTCTGTCTGGTCTACATGGTAAAGTCAGACTTAATCGTGAAGAAAATTTATTGTGTCTGGTCTACATGGTAAAGTCTGACTTAATCATGAAGGTTATTTATTCTGTCTGGTCTACATGGTAAAGTCAGACTTAATCGTGAAGAAAATTTATTGTGTCTGGTCTACAGGGTAAAGTCTGACTTAATCGTGAAGGTTATTTATTCTGTCTGGTCTACATGGTAAAGTCAGACTTAATCGTGAAGGTTATTTTATTCTGTCTGGTCTACATGGTAAAGTCAGACTTAATCATGAAAGTTATTTATTCTGTCAGGTCTACAGGGTAAAGTCTGACTTAATCGTGAAGGTTATTTATTCTGTCTGGTCTACATGGTAAAGTCAGACTTAATCATGAAGGTTATTTATTCTGTCAGGTCTACAGGGTAAAGTCTGACTTAATCATGAAGGTTATTTATTCTGTCTGGTCTACATGGTAAAGTCTGACTTAATCGTGAAGGTTATTTATTCTGTCTGGTCTACATGGTAAAGTCTGACTTAATCGCGAAGGTTATTTATTCTGTCAGGTCTACAGGGTAAAGTCAGACTTAATCGTGAAGGTTATTTATTCTGTCTGGTCTACATGGTAAAGTCAGACTTAATCGTGAAGGTTATTTATTCTGTCAGGTCTACATGGTAAAGTCTGACTTAATCGTGAAGGTTATTTATTCTGTCAGGTCTACATGGTAAAGTCAGACTTAATCGTGAAGGTTATTTATTCTGTCAGGTCTACATGGTAAAGTCTGACTTAATCGTGAAGGTTATTTATTCTGTCAGGTCTACATGGTAAAGTCAGACTTAATCGTGAAGGTTATTTATTCTGTCTGGTCTACATGGTAAAGTCAGACTTAATCGTGAAGGTTATTTATTCTGTCAGGTCTACATGGTAAAGTCTGACTTAATCGTGAAGGTTATTTATTCTGTCAGGTCTACATGGTAAAGTCAGACTTAATCGTGAAGGTTATTTATTCTGTCAGGTCTACATGGTAAAGTCTGACTTAATCGTGAAGGTTATTTATTCTGTCTGGTCTACAGGGTAAAGTCAGACTTAATCGTGAAGGTTATTTATTCTGTCTGGTCTACAGGGTAAAGTCTGACTTAATCGTGAAGGTTATTTATTCTGTCAGGTCTACATGGTAAAGTCAGACTTAATCGTGAAGGTTATTTATTCTGTCAGGTCTACATGGTAAAGTCTGACTTAATCGTGAAGGTTATTTATTCTGTCTGGTCTACATGGTAAAGTCAGACTTAATCGTGAAGGTTATTTATTCTGTCAGGTCTAAATGGTGAAGTCAGTAAAGGCAATAACTCCCAAACATGATTTTAAGGCACCACATTTCAAACACATGTCAGATCATGACAGTTACATAAGTGTGTACAATTTTAATTCTCTGCCTGAATAGTGAAAAAATTCATCAAAATTTCACACAGTATACACTAAGCCGAAATTTTAAGCATCAACTATTGAGTATCACACTGCAATACAAACTTCCATACAATATTCTGATATTCCAGCTTCCCAAGTCTGAGTCATTGCAGATACCTAATGCATCCATACAGGGTTGCATGTAACTGCTCTGAGTGACAGAAACAGCCAAACACTTAGCACAGTCATAGATGTCTGGACGCAGTGAATTAATTTTCTGAGTCCATTATCTACATTTGCACGTCACATAAAACCATGACTATGCAATCTAGCAGCAATGTTTATTCATACTGAATGGCAATTAATTCTCAAATGAAAACTCAGAAATACCTACAAATTAGAAATACCTAGCTGCAGTACTAATGGCTTAGTTTGAAATTATAACTGCACAATTTACAACGCAGTCATCATGCCTGAAGGACACAATCAGAAACCTAGTTATTAGTAAATAATCGAGTCTGGACCAGACAATGCAGTGATCTCAGGCTCACTGACTTGGTTGACTCATGTCATTGTATCACAATTGCTCAGATTGGCTCTCAAGCTGTTGATCACTGGATTGTCTGGCCAAGACTTGATGTTTCACAGACTGCCGCCATATAACTGGATTATTGGTAGCTGCAGTGTTAAAACAACCAACCAAGCAACCAACCCTACATGAGACAAGGCGTGTAATGATACCTGGTCTCTGTTTAACTCTGAGAGAGTAGGGTTTCACGACTTCCATATTCCAGCAATATCACAGTGTGGACACCTATAATGGCCTCACACAAAACAATTATAATGGGCTAGTGATACATTCAAGTTTACACTTTGACTGTACAGGTGTATAAACATAGCCACATTCTGTGACAGCTGGGTATACTCTCTAAACATTAGTACATAAATTCTGTTAACTGATGTCGAGAAATATATTAAGTGAGTGAGTGAGTTTAGTTTTACGCCGCACTCAGCAATATTCCAGCTATATAGCGGGGGTCTGTAAATAATCGTGTCTGGAACAGACAATCCAGTGATCAACAGCATGAGCATCGATCTGAGCAACTGGGAACCGATGACATGTGTCAACCAAGTCAGCAAGCCTGACCACCAGATCCTGACCAGTTGCCTCTAATGACAAGCATGGGTTACTGAAGACCAATCTTCTAACCTTCATGGGACACATATATTCAGATGGGATATAATGACTCCTTAGATCTTCAGAGTGTATACAAATGAGAATAACATGATATTCGTGTTGAATATATCACTGTCTGACATTCAGGAGAAGTGGTTCCAGAATCACGAGATAGTTGTTTTATAAAACATATCGTAAAATAACAACAAAATGGTGATAATTAAGTTTTCTTAAATTTGCATTGGCCATATCCTTTTCACACACTAAACGTCTTTTAAAAAATTAAACTGTGAATATAAGTATGAACATTTTCCATTTTGAATATTTCTAGAGAGTCATGATACATCAGGCTATCACTACTGCTGGTGCTGTCAGTGTGCCATATGATTGTACTATATTCACAGGAATTCAAAACCCCAAAAGGCACTGTTGGTTGTACATATAACCATAATGACAACTGATCGCTTCAAGTCACAATTAGTTTTAAATTAAACATGAATTATGCATGAGACACCTCTGAACCATATTTCAATGTGCCATGTGGTAATTAGCAGTCATATGCCAATTTTGGATTAGAATTACTTCCCTTGGGTTTGAGTAACTAAGCAACAGAGAGGATAATGCAAACTTTGACATTTTCAATAATACTTTATTCATTTCTATTACACTAACCAATATTTTCATTAAGAATTAAAGTTGGTTTAATACCACCACAATACTACTGAAAAAGTGACAATTATAGAAATGTTTTTGTGATAATGGTAAATTTGCAATATAATGACAATCAATGTAGAACAAACTTTATGGATAACAACTTCTTTTTATTCATGAGTGCAACGTTTCGATACAGAATCTTGTACCGTTGTCAAGCATGAATAAAAAGAAGTTGTTATCCATAAAGTTTGTTCTATATTGTACTTCCCAACTTCTAAAATGACACTTAAAGAAATAATGACAATCGTTAAAAATAGTCCCTTAAGTCATCCCTTTTGCCGATTCACAAAACAAAATATCATTTTCTGTGTCAATGAAAAGCAGAGGGCCAACTTTGACAACTACAACCATTTATTATCTGGCTCATCGTGAAATGTCTGATTCACAGATAATACATATAAAAGAAATGCATTCTTCTTGTTGGCCCACTTTAAATGCACACGGCACATCTGTACAGCTGAATGAAAGCCCCAGGGACCAGTGAAAAACAGATACACAAGAAAGAGATATATACCTGACATTAAGCAGTACAATTATAAAACAAATACCTGTAACTGGAAAGCACAAGTTCTTCCCAACTCTCTCTACAGCGTGACCTTTATTCATGGACAGATAGAACACCCTTGCTTGACCCCTGTAAACAATCTGTTGCAAACCAGCTGCTGCCCAGTATACAAGCCACAGATTTGATATCTGTCAACTGAAAAATAATTGCCTGGTACCTGCCATTTAGAGAAGACATTAAAACATGGCATCTAAATTGCCATGTTTCTTTTTGGTTTCTATTTGCAGAAAATAACCTTTTTTTCCATGACCTGAAAACATGTGCAGTGTCTTGTTACGTTGTCATGTCACAGTTTGTGTCTATACAGATTTCAAGGCCAGGATGTTCTTCAAAAGGTTACTAGGTGTATCAGCAGTGCCTAGGTTAAACACAGTCTCTGAAATAAAAATAAGTTGTTCACTTATCTAGGGATGTATTTAGGGATAAATTTGATATTTTATATTTATTTTAAAGTTCTTATTTAACAAATTTCAGAGGTATTTCATCATTTCATTTTAACTCAGTACTAAAAGTAATAATGTTAAACTAAATATCAAAGCCTTTCTCTATTTTGGTCCTTTTATTTGTGAAGTTATCTGTGAGATGCTTAATTCCTATTAGCTGCAGACTTTGAGGCGAATATTACACACATTTCAATGCCATAAGATACTGCGACATGTGGCACACATGAGAACAGATGCAACTTAGGTGCAGAAAATATCTGGGGCAGAATATTTTTTGTTAAAGATGTTAACACTGGTTTTCAAATACCCAACATGCAGAAGGGAATACAAATATACTGATGGCAACAAGTAAGGAAACACACGAATAAACAATTGCAAGTGTTTCTTTAATTATTTCCAGATTTCCACCAACAGTGCAATAAAAAACCTGCAAAGAAACATGAAAAAGAATAAAAGGAACACTTGTACGTTCATGTGTTACCTTATTTGTTTCTTTCGGTATTTACTCAACACCCGTAAGGTCATGCTGACCCAGACCATGCTGATTATGACGCAGGGGCTCGCATGTACCATATATGACCGTGGACAGGTATCAGGTCAAATTGTTCCATACATAAAAGTTATCCGGCAATACACATAAGTGCTGTCACATAACCTTAGTTATCATCATAAATAGTTGACATTTATAGAGCAAAACCTGCAATTGAAATGATGCAATGCTAGAATATATTTCTCTTTATAAAATTATAGTTTCAGATACTTTATTGTTCTGATCACTCTATCAGAATTCATCTCGGTATATAATATTGGGTATGTTTTAACTAAATCGCCAGCAGATTGGGGAGATGTGTGCACAGCTGATTGCTATTTCCGGTTCTGTATAAAAGACAAATACACACGGTAATTTTAATCCTGCATATAAGACAATGCCTAGCAAAAACAAATTAGAACTGAAAAGGTAAATCATCTTGTCTTGTGATGTTTAATTGCAAATATGACATCTTTACTGACAAAGTCTTCTCTTGTTTGTTCATGCGAAGCCATACAACACCTCTTTTTTACCCATTGAAAAAAGTTTGACAAAATGTAACCCATAGATTCCCAACTCCCTTCTATAAACTGCTTTTTGGGGTCCTCTAAATTCGGCTTATCTACGGTAATTCAAAAGGTGCATCATATAAAGTAAAATCTCGATTTTAGTTTTTATATATCCAAGATTTCTTTGTTTAATTAAGAGAAAGCAGTCCTTTGCACTTAAATTCAACTTCTGGAATCAGCAGATTATCATCATCTCACGATTTCGTGACGATGAAATTGCAATGTCAAGGACACCAGGAGAGTATATCACCTTGAGACCCATGGAACCAATTACAAACCATGTCTAATAACAATTGCTACGGTAGAGACGAGGTGCCTCGGTGTCGCCAGCTCAAACTAGCAGTTATGTCTAGCAGTTATGTGTGTTAGAGAATGACCGCGAATGTGAAAAGCCTAATCATGCTAATAGTAAGAATTGCTACAGTATAAGAATAAGAATGACACAGTACAGACGAGGTGTCTCGGTGTCGCTAGCTTAACCTCTGGTGAAAGACAAGCAGTTATGTGTGTTAGAACATGACCGTGAATCTGAAAAGCCCAATGGCAAATACAGGAGCAAAGCAAACATGTCCCCCGTCTGAAAAGCAAACACAACCACTTGTTGACATGCAGGTGCCCCATATTCAGTAACCGCAGGGTTCGAAACATTATCATGCAAATCTCTGATATTTTGGCAATATGTATTTATACTTGTAGCCATTTCTTGTCTGTAATGGTTTTATTTCTCCTTTGTCATTTTCATTTGTATTTTACAGTTATTTGTTTTCAATATTGACTGATTTTTAGTATCTGTTTCTTCAAGGTCAAACCACAATAGGTTATCGTCAGTTTGCCCACATGTGCTTTCGGGTTAAAATTGCTACATTGTCACATGCTCTAGATTTCCTCCGCCTGAGCATGGTAGTGTGCATGTAAAGTAAATATTATTATGAACTGACTGTTCCCACAATCAATCCTCAGGAAGCATGTGAGATAATCATCAAGCACTAGCAAAAGACTTCCAGAACTATAATATCATGTGACAAGAATACATCCCAATGAAACTTCAAACATAAACATCTAGACTCGTAAGATGGATATGATTAACTCCTGGAATCGTCAACCCTACAATCATTACAAAGTACAAAGGCTGAAAATTACTTTGTAAATGAGGATTTTCAAGTTTATTACAAAATAGATTTGCTATACAAAAAATACAAAAGATAGACTACAAAACCATCTAAACTTGCAAAAATGAGTGACCAAATTACCTATGACAAAAATATAATAGAATTTTTTAATGTACATTTCTTCCTTTCACAGAAAAGGAAAGCATGTTCTCAAGTAGCGACCAAACAACACCCTTCTCTAACAAAAATTAAACAGATATGGTGCGTATCTGCATAAACTATACAAATCATCAAACAGCCATTACGCAGTTAGAATTGGTCTTCAGTAACCCATGCTCGTCATAAGAGGTGACTAACGAGATCAGGTGGTCAGGTTCGCTAACTTGGTTGACACATGTCATCGTATCCCCATTACGTAGATCTATGTTCATGATGTTGATCCCCGGATTGTCTTGTCCAGACTCGATTATTTACAGACCGCCGACATATAGCTGGAATATTGCTGAGTGAGGCAGAAAACTAAACTCACTAATGGCTACATGCAGATTAACTCAACTAAAACAGCTCAACAGTCATTTTTTTAAAAATGGTCTACACATCATGCTGATTGGTTTAAAAATATCAAATACACAAGACCCAGAGTCATCAATATCTCTGGTAAAATACTCTTGATGAATATGTTAACTAGTTATGACTATGCCAAATGTTATATTGTTCTTCACATTGATCTAAGGAAAACAGGGGCGGTGGGGTAGCCTAATGGTTAAAGCGTTGGCTCGTCACGCCGAAGACCCGGGTTCGAATCCCCACATGGGTACAATGTCTGA